CGCAGATAAATGTGGGTTAAAATACGTTTCTGTGGTAATACAAAATGCCCGTAGTTAGTAGAAACACAAGATGCTTAAGATGAGCGATTTTATAGAAAGAAGGTCAGATGTTCAATGAAAGGATGCAAAACCGAGAAGTGTCATAAGGAAGCGAGCTGAAAAATAAGGCGTCAACTATAATTGGCGAAGGAGTTGTATACTTAGTCGATCCCCGTTAGGTTTGAGGCTAAACGAGTTCACTTAAATTGCGAACAAGAACGGGGTTCGATGACCAACGACAAATGAGCTAGCTAATGACGCGTCCCAGCCTCACTATCTAGAGAGAGAAGACCAGGCTTGAAATGAGAGTATATTCTGCAACAACCGGAAAACCAGCAAACCTTTTTACGAGACAATTTTAATAACGGATTGTTATAACGTTCCGTCTTCGATTGTTATAACGCTCGGTATTACTTTGTCTGATGTGGTAACGCTTAACGATTATCTACACTAGATCCCTCCCAGTGTCTATCCTACAGGACTTCAACACGACTCAGATCAAAAACACGTAATCAGCCTGACCAGAACGTAATATATTTCACACCCAAAAGCCCGACACAATCCACAACAATGAACAATCAATAAAGATGTCTATAAGAGTGTGTGAGTCACAATAATAAGGGTAAGGGAATATATAACTTATCTGACACCTGTCAGACTGTCTACATGTCTGACTAAGCAGACAACCAATCACGATCGTTCTCGCACACACAACACCTCCCTCACGAATTTTGATCGTAATACTTCGCATTCGGCAGTGCCATCTCGAGACATATCATTATTGCAGGACATCAAGTGGATAAGCTGAAGCTTTTCAAAGGTGACTAATAAACAATCGCATTTCATCATTATGAAATTTGTCGAGGCTATAGCGATCGCATGTCTAAGACCTGATCGCTATGTCCAAAAACAAACAGTAATAATCCTATCTTTGCCCTGGTAACATTATTCCTTTTCTGCATCATTGTCATTTTTCTTTGATTTAAAATCTTCATTCTAGTTGACTGATTTCAAATCACATCTTTCTTCACTACCATTAATTTGTTTTCAGTTACTTCACTCTACAATCATTTGATGCCTGATAACTATATGATTTCTAATTACTAGCTCGATGTTATGGAACCTTCTCTTTCACATTTTATTTATCCGAAACGAAACTTTTAATGATCTTATCAACTTTGTTGCAATTATTGCTAAGTTGATATACACATTTTCATCTCTAATCACTTTCGCGTCTATAAGTATGTCAATATCTATGATAACTTTGGTTTTAATATATAATAGGTTGTAAGCATCTGTTGGTAACTTAGCAAAATAAAATAAATTCATATTATTCTGCACCGCTTGTTCTTGTCGCTCTCTTCAAGATTAATAGTTTTCTTTTCTTTTACTTGGTAATGTCGGTTGGATCGAAAAGAAACACTGTTATTCACAGTTGAAGTTAACGCAGATAAATGTGGGTTAAAATACGTTTCTGTGGTAATACAAAATGCCCGTAGTTAGTAGAAACACAAGATGCTTAAGATGAGCGATTTTATAGAAAGAAGGTCAGATGTTCAATGAAAGGATGCAAAACCGAGAAGTGTCATAAGGAAGCGAGCTGAAAAATAAGGCGTCAACTATAATTGGCGAAGGAGTTGTATACTTAGTCGATCCCCGTTAGGTTTGAGGCTAAACGAGTTCACTTAAATTGCGAACAAGAACGGGGTTCGATGACCAACGACAAATGAGCTAGCTAATGACGCGTCCCAGCCTCACTATCTAGAGAGAGAAGACCAGGCTTGAAATGAGAGTATATTCTGCAACAACCGGAAAACCAGCAAACCTTTTTACGAGACAATTTTAATAACGGATTGTTATAACGTTCCGTCTTCGATTGTTATAACGCTCGGTATTACTTTGTCTGATGTGGTAACGCTTAACGATTATCTACACTAGATCCCTCCCAGTGTCTATCCTACAGGACTTCAACACGACTCAGATCAAAAACACGTAATCAGCCTGACCAGAACGTAATATATTTCACACCCAAAAGCCCGACACAATCCACAACAATGAACAATCAATAAAGATGTCTATAAGAGTGTGTGAGTCACAATAATAAGGGTAAGGGAATATATAACTTATCTGACACCTGTCAGACTGTCTACATGTCTGACTAAGCAGACAACCAATCACGATCGTTCTCGCACACACAACACGTATTTATACAAATATATATATCGATATTGCCATGGAGCTTTTAAACTTTTTATCGTTATTTCATCAACTGACTGCCATTGAAATATTTTTACATCAATCGATATATTCGTCAATTAACTGTGTGCATGGGTGGTAAGAAATGCCCACGTATACATCTGCATACTAGCTCCACAAGATAAAATTACAAACTATGAGTTTTTGGAGATCTATCGTCCCCAACATTCCCAGACTTTTACAGTGTTTAGAAGGGGTAGTAAAATTATTGCACTTTTAAATTTTCTTCAGTATTCTTCCAACTGCCAGCTCGTAAACCGGCGAAGCGCGAACTCACTCAAGATTGTTTGAAATACTGGTGATCGATCCCAAACGTCGCAAGCATCTATGGAGCCAAATAAACATGACTATCAGATTTGCATACGTACCTTATTTACAAGGTCCATATCCCTTATTGTGTCTTTTGCAACCTGACGTGATTCATGTGTTGTTTTAGAGACTAGTGGTTTCTGGGTCTGAAGAATTTTAAGGCCTGCCCCACTGTCTCGAATATAACTTTCATCACACTCTTAGTCTTTAGTTATCTCACAGTTACCACATCTAGGTTTTTCACCAGCCAGAATTTCAGCCGCTTTACAAACCCACGGAGAAGTGGTCTTATAGAACCTGGAGATTTGAATCAAAATTCTGAGGATATGGAATATTTTATACGGCGGATCGAATTTGAAAACTCTAAGCCTAGTTACGTCGTGCATTATAGTATCAGATGTCAGTGTTTGCCTAATATCTGGATTGTTGATAACTTTGGGAGTTTGGACGTGGTTAATCTATAGGGCAGCCGTAGTTTCGTTATCAGATTGAAGAAAGCGAAGAGATTGCGTCCAACAGATTTGGAAACCCTTCCCAACCTTAACACACATTACAGACTGTTAGCTATCCCTTGTGTGACATTTTATTGTTGCATTGAACATCCGGATTAGTACAACCAGTCTCGTATCAAGGTTAATTTGTTCTGTTGTTAGTCTAAGATAATATAATTTCAGTACTCCCAGAACTGCGACAACAGCCGAAAAATTATGACGAAGTATAACTTTAGTCTTGAGACCAGACATTATTTTAGGATCAGCCAAACTTTAACGGCCTTCGTGATTTGCATCCATATAACACATTTAATCGAGTAGACCCCTAATTCTTATGTAAATTTATATGTTTATTCCATATTCCACTCTCTTTTCCTTCATTAGCAATGTACTGGATAAAGAAATTCGTGTATTAATAAACTTCCTCAAGTATTAGACACAGTTCGTAGGCATGTCCTTAAAGTAACTACATCTGCCTTACGTATAATGCGTAAGAATTCCCGAAACGAATAAATGTAAAAAACCATGGAATTTCCTATCATTATGATACTTAGTTGCGGTAGATTCAACCAGCCAGCGCACAAACCTCATCTTGTGACCAGGTTAAAACGATCACTTACACATCGCTTCCCTGAGTTGTCTTCGACGTAACGACTGTGCGCAATCAGCTGGTTCAAGTTACTATAATTTTGCGCAAACTATATAAATGCCCTTTGCGAAATTAATCAGTGATTAATTATCGAACTTCTGCCACGTATCGCTCCAGTTCTACTTCCAGTATAGTGCGATTAAACCAAGTCAAATAAGGTGCAAACAATATCTGTTTGCTTAGATTCTTCAGACTGTGTCTGGGGTTACAACATCTCCTGCTGGTCTCCTCATGGGAATTTAGATATTCACTTTAGTCCAGACTTTACTGCTGGACACTAACTTTGGTGTAATTCTGTCACCATATTTTTTTACCACTAAATAGCGTTCTCATTCTTTATGGTTTCTGAATTAGTGAATCGTGAACTATACCACTTCGTAGTCAAGAAACCCCTCTTGCATACTAGATATACATCTCAAGGAGTAAACAGCCTTATATTCCTGCCCAAAAATAACCAAAGTATTGATTGTCTACAGAATAGTAACTTGGATTAAAACTAGTGAATCGATAAACTGAACCATTTCACACTAACTTGTTGCAGTTTAACAGTTGAACTAACCGTAATCAACGTGGTTCTGAAAATTGGCTTCAGGACTAGCGTACCTTACTCTGTCATCCAATCTACGCTAGAAAATCGCAGGCGACACAATAAACATGTTCGAAAGTCAGGAAGAAACAGAATCTCTATATTGTGCTAGTAATCAGAACAATATATGATTGGGACGAGAGGGGTGAGAGACGGCTTCTAGGCCTTCCGTTAGCTCGATTGTGAGGCATATAGGCATAAAGTAAGGGTAGTGAGGAAGGACTAACGTAGTTTCCTGTTTTCTATTATCAGAAAAGCAAATTATTCTGAATTTGTTACACTGACTAGAATTCACTTCATTCCAATAGATGAACTGTAAAATTGCAGTTTGTAGTGATCTTAGATAGTATTTTAGCGCCAAGGTGGATGTCTGACGAGGTTGTATTAAAATAAGAACAAAGCTATGCTCCTGAAAAAGCACATCATCGAAGACTGAGTTCACTCCCCAATCAACCAATAAAGGGGAAATAAAGGAGATAAAAAAGGGAAACAAAGGGGACGAAAACGTAAATAAAGGACTGATCAGTGCAGGATGCTTACTATCTTATCACCTAGTACTCCATATGAATCAATACAAGATGTTAAAATCATTAATTTCAGTTATTTTGAAGGATTATTTCAATTTGCCTCCAATGCAAAATTGAAGATTTACACTAGTCATAAATCCATCCGCCGTTTTGAGGTTCTAGGTCGTTCGCCACGCATTCTCCTTGATATCTTAGATTAAACTTTGTTTACCGTTGGATTGTTTGAAATAATCTATCTCGTTCTTAACTTAGCACGAAGGTCAACACTTATATCAGTCCTCACAGTCCTATAAGCTCCATAAATTTCAAAAAGCTACTCATTCTTAAAATGAGTAGTGTATAATAGCAGAATTTTAAGACACTTCCATATATGACTACAAATTCATGTCCTCATTGAGAACGTAGCTACCAAGCCAACTCTGAATTTTTTCTTAATGTTCTCGTATAATTTTCATGTCTAAATGAAACGTACACAAAACTGCAACACTGTTGTTCACTTAATCTCACTTTACACTTTCCATACATCTAGGTTGTTTAATCTCGTGTGCATACTAGCCTTATTAACGAGACAATCAATGATTTTTAATTTGACCGCAAACTTTCGTGATCTAATGTCAACTAGTTATTTGTTGTATGCAATATGACCCACGGAGTTGCTGATACATTGAGCATGATTAGGAAATGTATCCCCTTAAACGTTGACTACATCAAGTTTTCATGCCGTTTGTCCCTTCAAAAATTGTCCACTGTTTTTTAAGCAGTACTTATTCTTAACTTGGTTTAAGCTCTTAAGACCTCTCACAGTAAGGGACAACACATTGCGTCATATAGAAGCATCTCTGGTGGTGAAGCAAATGCGTGCTTTTGTCTATCCTAGGGTCCTTCTAGGCTACAATAAAGAACATAACACTCCTATGACTTTAGTGTTTATTAAGTGGTCTCGAAAAGACATGCTGGTATCACTATGTTTACGAGACGTTTTAAAACCGTACTTGTTTAGAACTATGTATGTCTAAGTACTAGCTTTTTATTTATTTGAACACAAACATTGGTGCAAGAGGGGACCAAATACGTATGCACCACACAATAACAATGAGGCAAGTGATAGTTATCATTGATTTGTGTGAGAGCTGGAATACCGACCGGGCGCCTAGATCGAAGCAGGTGGTCTTCCCAGGGTGCCGCACCCCGAACCTTTGACTTAAAAGTCTAATCCACAAGGCAGTGGAGCAACGTTAGAAGATGCACTCCCATGGTAGCCGGTGACCAATGAGCTTATATATCACTTGTTCCCTCGGAGTACTGGAACCCATGTGCACTTTTGGTTTGGAATCAGGGTTTTCCAACTCCGTAGGTGGATCCTCCGAGTTCATGACCCGGTTAAAGCACTGGACATTCCATAAACAAAACTTCCGCCGCGATAAGGCAGTGGATAGGATTTCTCTGGCGGTGTCTGTCCACTGTCGAAAGTTTATGTAGGCTGAGGATATGTTATGATCTCAGAGCCATAGAAACCAATCCCCAGCAGCTTAACTGGGTTATAATACGTATCTTTTCAACCTTTAAGATTTGTTATTCAATTAAAATGCCTTTCTAAACACTTGTAAAATTTCATGAAGTTTAAAATATTACCTGTACTCTAACTCCCATAATTTATCTGGGTATTAGGTAATGATTGATAAGGTAGCGAATCTCCAACGATTGAGGTGGTGCATGCCCGATCATTACCTACCTAGACACGTAATGTTTGGTGGTGTTACAGTAGTGTGAAAGAAACGTAGGAGCAGTCAAATCAAGACATGTCATCATTTCACGAAGTTATTAACCGTCGGTGAATGCCGGGTACTTTGTTGGAGATCTCCAATCATTGTAAACAATGTCTGGATATGATAAGTGAAATGGTTCAGAATCGGTCACTCCGGCACAGATTCATTTACTCTGTCTTCCCGTGGGTCTTCAGTTTTGAAATTATCTCAAGCTTCTCACCCTGCTAATTCAACCTTTCGTCTTAAATCATATTTTCTATGCCGAATCTTTTATACTACCACTCACCCTAATAATGCTTTTACTATGGAATTCGTCTTGATAACTTGATCTCTGTGCCGATATTGTGACGCAACTGGAACGGATGCACATATGTGGTGCATTCTGCATTTCTTGTGATTGACTGATTTCTCACTAGTGTGAAAGTAGTATTTGTTAACGTACCAACGGAAACCAGAATTAACTATTGCACTTAAGTATTTTAGAAAGTAATCTACAATACCTGCTGTTTTTTTCCTCCACCAACTATTTAAAGTTCGACTATCATATAAGTCTTTCATTTTGTGCTCTAATTCATCAGTCGTCTTTTTTGTTGCTAAATCCTTTTCATTTTTCCTCAGCTCCTAAAACGTGATCTATAATGTTTGATTTTCAAATGCAGTGAATCCTTAGTATTTATATATTAACAACTGTATAAAAATTATACTTGCAAGTAAAACCATGTATTACTTGAATTGCCTCAACTTTCTACCCACATACAACGTATTCAAGTGGCTTAACGAGCCAAGTTATGTTTGGAAGATAGTTTTCCTTTGTTGTTTAGCAAATTTCATTAACGCAGCTGATCGAGTTATCATGCCTATTGTTATAATTCCCATATCGAGTCATTTTGGCTGGAATCTTCACCAATATGGATTAGTTCTGAGTTCGTTTTCTGTAGGCTATCTTGGAAGTATGGTAAGTACTATCAGTTCTTCGCTCTTAATTTAAACTAGATTATAGGTGAAACAGCAGCAAGACGATATGGTGGAGGTCTGATCCTTAGTTTTGCCGTCGCATTCTGGTCATTCTCATCCCTCCTCACTCCATTCTTTGCTCATTCTATTCACTCTCTGATAACTGTGCGTATACTACTTGGTTTAAGAGAAGGAATAGGTAAGAAAGATATTTTTTCGATCTAAATTTGACAATCATAATCAAAACTCAAATATAAACGAAAATTTTATTGTTAAAAGATCTGTGTGATGTTCTTTAGCTTAACGTATTTGATTTGGATAAATCAGTTACGATAGGATTAGTTGACTAAATCATCAATTATAAACAGTTATCGTTTGTATCCTACTCACAAAGCAAGCCTATTAGCGTCAGGTAGAGTTATGCATACTCCCAGTCTCATTCTGCCCCCAAATGCCCTGGTATGGCCGAGAGCGGGGAGGGTTCGCCCTCCCTCTCGAAATACTCTCACACGGCCACGCGTATACAGCCTCTGCCAGGGAAGTCCTACTCACTGCCTTCTCGTGGCGGGGGTGTTGTTTACGAAAATGAGAGGACGAAAAGCGAATGTCCGGCGCTATAACCGGATCCCAATTCTATGGTGCACATGGGCTCCAGTATCCTGCGGGAACAAATGGCGTATGAACCAACTTTTGGTCACCGGCTTCCATGGGACTGCATCTCCTCACGATGCTCCACTGCCTTGTGGACTAGACCTTTAGGTCAAAGGCTCGGGGTGTGGCCCCCTAAGAAAACCACCTGCTTCGGTCTGGGCACCCGGGCAGTATCCCAGCCCACTCACTAAAACTATGATGAACAATTTGCTTATGGAAAATATTCCTTTCTATCTGATTAACATTGAAATAACTCGTACTATTATTATTATTGTTATTATTATTATTATTATTATTATTATTATTATTATTATTATTATTATTATTACTCTACCACGTCATTTATTCACCCTCTCTTATTCCTACTTTATATATGCGTTTCGACCTAGACAGCAGCTCACCTATGGTGAAAATTCAGCTTTATCTATACGTTCCCGAGTCACTGCCTGGTTGAAAATTGTATGTTACTACCGAACATGAGTACTGAAGCAGTTTTTCTGAAACCGCGTGCACCATTCAAACTGGCTACCTTCAACGTTCGCACACTTATGCAGGTCGGACAACAGATAGGGCTGGCTATGTCTTTGAAAAGTCTTAATATTGACGTGTGTTGTCTATCAGAGACCCGTATTCAAGACTCTGGTGAAGTACTACAAGTTCGCTTTCCATCTGTCACTTCAAAAAGCTTGTTTTATGTGCGTTTATCCGGGGACCCTGTGGCATCTTCGTCTGGTCTTGCTGGCGTTGGTGTCGCACTAAGCGCAAGAGCTGAGGCAGCACTAGTCGACTGGATCCCCATTAACAGTCGGTTATGTGCTGTTAGATTAGAAAGTTCCATCAAAGTGAGAAGAAATCGGCGTGAGAAACGATGTCTTTTCGTCATCTCCCCCTATGCTCCGACAGATTGCAGCCCGGATGCAATCAAGGACGAGTTCTACCATCAGCTAACTGTTCTTCTCCAGAAAGTGCGTTCGACAGATATTGTAGTACTAGCTGGAGACTTGAATGCTCAGGTCGGGCGTCTAGGCACAGAAGAGAGTCGTTTAGGTGGCCGATGGGGACTCGTTGGTCGCAGGACAGATAACGGGGAACGTCTACTGCAACTATGCACAGACCACAACCTGTTTCTGGCTAGCACTAACTTTCGGCACAGTCATCGCCGATGTGCCACCTGGCGTCCCCCTTCTGCATCTCAAGCCTGGACTCAGGTTGATCACATCGCGATCAGCTACCGCTGGCGCGGTTGTGTACAAGACTGCCGCTCCTTTTGGAGTACCTATCTGGAATCTGATCATGCTCTGGTCTGCGCCAATCTTACCTTACTTTTCAGTGGACAACGAAGTGACCGCCACCACGGGATTGATGTTAGCAAGCTGGCTGCAACTTCTGTTGCTAGTAAGTACCGAACCGAGCTAGCTTCTAGACTAGCTACCATTCCACCGAAAAGTATAGATGAGCATTGGTTGCAATTGCATGACGCCATGAAAATGGCGGGTAAAGTCTGTTGTGGGTTTGCGAAACGTCCCGCTTACAAGCACTGGGTTTCTTCTGGTTCCTTACAACTGATTGAAGCCCGTCGGTCTACTCCGGGTGACCGTGAGTTTAACCACAGACGAAGGATGTTACGTAATGAAATCGGGCAAAGCTTGCGTAAGGACCGAGAAGCCTGGTGGTCGGAGCGTGCCAGTGAGTTGGAAGCAGCAGCTGCATCTGGTAATTACCGGAAGCTCTTCCAACTCATCCGAGCCACTGGCAGCAAGAAGTTTGGTGTGAGCGAAACAATCTGCGAGGATGACGGAACGCCAATCACTAACATCCATCGACGTTTTGGACGATGGGCAGAATTCTTTGAAGGGCAGTTCAACTGGCCTGCTGCTCCGGCAACATCGGTCAGACTGTCCTGCCCTCCATGGCCGGTGACGACTGAGTCACCAAATGGGGCGGAAGTCCGCAAGGAACTCCAACTCTTGAAACGTTACAAATCACCGGGCCCAGACGACTTACCTCCTGCTCTTTTTAAAGATGGTGGTGACTTTCTGACTAAGGGACTGAGGACGTTGTTTACAAAGATCTGGGAACTAGAGAGTGTACCAACGTCATGGAATGAGTCGATAGTTGTCCCTATCTTTAAAGAGGGTTCACGTTGTTCCTGTAACAACTATCGGGGGATAAGTCTACTTCCGATTGCGTCCAAGCTATTGGCTTCCGTCATACTTCGTAGGTTGTTCAGGACCCGAGAAGGATTGACTCGCGAGGAGCAGGCTGGGTTTCGTTCTGGTCGAGGATGTATTGATCATATCTTCACCCTCCGCCAAGTGTTAGAACACCGCCATACTTATCAAAGGCCAACAATCGTAGTGTTTCTTGATATCAGGGCTGCCTTCGATTCGTTGGACAGAACTGTTCTCTGGGATTGTCTATTGAAGAAGGGTGTGCCTGAGAAGTTTATTAACATCCTAAAAGCCCTATACACAAACACCTCAGGCAGAGTGAGGGCATACAACCACCTTTCTCCGTTATTCCATTCGAGCAGTGGGGTTAGGCAGGGTTGCCCAATCTCACCATTCCTCTTCAACTTTGCCATCGATGACATTCTGGAAACAGCTCTGACGGATGTAAGTAATGGTGGTGTGGATCTGTTGCCTGGAGAAAGACTTCTCGACCTTGAGTGTGCGGATGATATTGTCTTACTGTGCGAGAATGCCCAAGCTATGCAATCCGCACTTAATCAGTTGGCAATCAATGTCCGTAGGTATGGTATGTGCTTTGCACCTTCGAAGTGCAAAGTACTTCTACAAGACTGACAGGATTCTAATCCTGTACTCACTCTGGATGGTGAGCAGATAGAAGTAGTCGAGAAGTTCGTGTATCTAGGTAGCTGCATAAGTGCTGGTGGTGGTGTGAGTGATGAGATCAATGCTCGTATAGTGAAAGCCAGAGCGGCTTATGCCAATCTGGGCCACCTTTGGCGCCTTCGTGATGTTAGTCTGGCTGTAAAAGGTCGGATCTACAACGCGACGGTGAGAGCAGTTTTGCTCTATGCTTGTGAAACCTGGCCTCTCCGAGTTGAGGATGTTAGACGACTCTCTGTGTTCGATGATCGTTGTCTCCGAAGGATTGCTGGCATCCAGTGGCAACACCATGTCAGTAATGCAGAGGTTCGGCATCGAGTGTTCGGTCACAGAGACGATAATGAAATTGGTGTCACCATCTTGAAACACCGACTTCGGTGGCTTGGACATGTTCTACGAATGTCGTCCCAGAGAATTCCTCGTCGTGCATTATTTGCCGACTCTGGGACTGGTTGGAAAAAGCGGAGAGGTGGTCAGTATATGACATGGTGTCGTGGTATGAAAGAAAGCTGCAAAGGGCTAGCTTCTGTTGGTCCTTCACGACTCCCTGGTTGGGGTCCTAGAGACGGTGTAACGCAGTGGCTAGAGACGTTATCAGATATGGCTAAGAATAGAAGCCAGTGGCGATCGTGCTGTAACCTCTTACTTTCTTCATAAAAAGTGTTTATATCTTCCTTAACTGAAAGATCTCTTCTGATTGTACCTTTCCGTTTCCTCCACCATTGTTCTCTCTCTCTCTCTTTTTTTTTTATAATTCCCCACGTTCATTACCTTTTTTTTTCTTTCCTCCTTCTCTTCAAATTATCATTGTTTTGTGTGGCGCATATATATTTGGTGCCCCTCTGTACCAATATTTATGTGTTCAAATAAATAAATAAATAAAATAAATAAATAAATAAGTCTCATTCTGTTAACAGATTCTTTATGTTATGTAAAAGTATTATTGTTTCCATCATTTGGAATATATTTTTTTGAAGGATAAGTGATCTGAATTTTCTACCGCAGGATAGGGTTTTCAACGTTTATATACAACTCAATAACATGGCATTGTAGGACACATCTGATTTCTAAAAAAATTTCTTACTACTTTCACCATGTACCAATCTTCAGATAGACCAAACAGGTACATAACAAACACTAAATTATGCTGAGCTGAAAAGTCAAATTACCTGCATACAATGAGTGTTAGTACAAAATATTTCAAAGCCCGACGTTCGATATTCTGTGGTATAACCCTACATGGATCTGTATACCCGTCATTTTTTTTACTATTATTAGTGGTTGCTTTGTATTTCAAATACCTGTTATTAAAAGAAAAATTGCTCTAGAGCTTATTTGATATGCTTTGTTAGCAAATCGGTCTCATCATCAAAAATGAATCATTTCTCATCCACCGTAATCAAAAGCTCATTTGAGTGCCTCAGTTATTGTAATATATTGATATATAATATATGTTTACTTAATAATGTCTCGTGTAGTCACAATATTTGCTTTTCGTCGTCTAATATAGGTCTCCCTACGGTATTCCACATATTTTCTTATGTTGTGCCTGTTGAAGAACGCAGTCGATCTTTCAGTTATATGGTCACATTTGGTGCTATTGGTCAAACAGTAGCTACCTTGGTTTGCCCTCATTTAATTTGGTCTCATTCGTTTTTCATATTTGGTTTTATTGGTCTTGTGTGGATTTGCTTCTGGATCCCTGTCTTTAACGTTGTTAAAAGAGCTGAGTCACGAAATGAGTTGCCTGCTCAGCAATCTCAGGTAAGTTGAACTCCTATTTTTTCCCTTCGGTTATCGACTCGGAAAAGGTGCAGATTATATCATACGTTGTCAAACTGATAATAACCCAATAGATAAGCATATTTTCATCTATCGTTGCTAAGCTAATTCCACAGAAGATTCATCGTCTCCAAATTACCTATTTTTCTGTAAACTCGATCTATCTGTACGTTAATAATTCGTGGATACACCTGGAAAATTTTTTCCGCAGTTTAGACAGTTATAAACTAGTTCGACAATCATCAGAATCAGATAATAAGGCCTTTGTATCGTTCGTTTTTATTAGGGAAATAAATACCAAGTTAATGTATTTCATGAAACCTTAAATTACTGAAACTAAACATGAGTATGCTAATTTAACGGAAAATGTTTTTAAGGCCGAGCCCTTCAAATGCACCTAAAGTAGTTAGCAAACTCACATTCTAGATCAAAGATGCATATTCCGATAACTTTATGGTACGGACTTTCTTACAGCACCAGCTAACATGTAAATATAATTTCAAGTCAATGACTCAAAGGGAGCGCTTGTCACAATCAGCTATTTCATTTCACAAATACATGTTAAAATAAAAAAAGTAATATTGATGGAAAGAAACTTTTCGCTACTGCACGAAACTTGATTCATATCAATTATTTTAGCCTTTGTTTCACTGAGTAAATAAGTTACTCAACAAATAAATGCCTTCAATCTAGGGGACTAACTGAATTATTCATTACTTGGGTCAGCTTTCTAAACAGCGAAAAATTATGAGAATAATGAGGAAAGCATATTCCACCATGTGGGAACCCCTTTTTAATGAATTTCATTGTCTTTTCATAATGTTTGAAGAGTTTTCATTTGGACTCACCGCAAATAGTTTTTATCTTCAGTAACTTATGATATTCTAGATTTATCGTGAATTTCATTTCACTCTCTAAATTCAGTCATCTATTTAAAAGTAGTTGATTATACTTCGCGATTCAGTTAACCATATCTCGTAAATGCCTGATAAGCTTACTTATGTATACTTAGTATACGTCTTTATTTACTGACTATATCAATATTTCAAGACATATTTAGGCATGATCTGATTACAGCTAAAAAGACGAACAGTGCGCCAACTGATTTTTCAGTCGATTTACTAGTTCTTATGATTGGTTGCCAGTTAAATTTAACGGGTGTTGTATGATGCTTTGCAACCATTTAATAGCTTCCAGTTACTAGCAAGCGTTAATTTACTCGTGAACTATCGAGTTCTACGTACGTTAGTGTTCTCTGTCCTGCCTAATAGCCCTTGAAATTATTCAACTAATGTATGTTTATCGTTAAATTCAATAATCGTGAGTTCCCATCAACTGGCATCCTGGAATCATATATTCCTCATATCTGATAATCGTTAAATCTGATGCTTCTGATTTAACGTCTTCCCAATATTTTCCGTCTATAGTCTAGCTGTGCCCTTAAATGATTGTCCTATACTGATACAAATCTCATTTTCTAACTAGTAGAGTACAGCAGCTCTACGTTTCTCCCTGCTTTTCTTGTTTACAACGCAGCTATCGATCTTTATGTCCTTGATCTGATGTCCGGATTTGTGTGATTAGTGTTGGTTTTTGATCCTCTTTAAATCGATAATTAGATTTTAGAGACTGATTCTAGTTAAGGATTAACACCAACCTGGCTTTTTATGTCCCCTCTTGGTATACATGTGTATATTTGTGAATAGAGCATAGAAATATGTTATGACTTTCATTACCTTCTTTTCCTTAAACTACTTAACAATCTTGAATTAAATTTTAACCCGATCCTGCCACGACACGAAGTCGTGGTCTTATGTGCAGGTATTTCTATTGAGTGTCTGTATTGTTGTTTCTTTATTATTATTGTTATTATTGTGCACAAATTTTTGTACTCATCTGTGAATTTAATAGACCGAAATGTCCATTGTGTGTTAGAGAATTCGAATTTATTTTCAAATTATTAGTTAGTTTACAATCACGTTTGGTGTAAACAGTTAGTGGTCTTGAGTGCTGTTAGAGGTATGAGGACGGTTGCCACTTCCCGGTTGCCCACACCGTGGAAGGGTTCTTCTGGAAGTGCCTGGAAAGGAACTTGGATTAGAGGTGGTCTTAGTGACCTGAGCGTGACCGCAGTGCCCAAGGGACAGCTGCTTGAGGTCGGTCACACACGACCTTTTTATGAGTAATTTTTGTGTTAGCTCCGTACTTGTTGAGACCTTACCGCCGGAGACGGATATCTGTGGGATAAGGCGAGGTGTGCATATTTAGGGTCGACCTTTTCTAACCCCACCCCCTCCTAGTTGGAAGGCAGCATCGCTGTTATGCTGGTTGTCTGAAGGAAACACCTTACTGCTGTCACACCTCTGTACAGTCAGCAGTACGACTTCGCCTTCGGACCTTGGGTTTGTTGCTTTTAGTCTTACCGCTCTTCAACCGACGTGTCTGGCATTGTAGGACATTGAGGAACGGTTGTTCCTGCCAGTATAGCTCGGTTGTTTCATCACGATAGGCAAGCCCGACCACCATGTCAAGGTAGCAACAACGGTCGGGATTTGGCGTAAATGTGTCAATAAGAATAGGTATATCAGTAAATAGATGGATGAGTGTTTGTATGGCTAGTAAAATAAAAATACTTCACTACAAAGTTGCTATCGAAATTACTAGTAGTATTGTTATAAAAACGGTTATGGCATTTTTAAGTGCGCTCTGACTTTTGAATTGATTGAATGTCAGTAATTGGTTATATAATCTAACTGATTGTTAAGGGCTCATAAGACTAAATTTATTTACATTAACTAACGATTTCCAAATGATCAATAACCGAAGTTACTGAACCATTCATTTTTGATTGTTCCATTCTTAAATTTAATTAAATGAGACAGTTCTTCATGTACAAGATAATTACACTGAATAAACTTGCATAATATGTGACCAATCATTGTTGAAAGACATGGAACGGCCTTTGAAAATTTAATGAATTTCGAATAACGACCAGATTTTTGTATATTATCTTACGTTAAATATTTTAAATTAACCAACTAGGATCTTTTTGATCCACCTATCATGCTGTTCGGCAGTCATCAGTTGTCTAAAACCTTGAAGATACTTTTGTTTCTATTGAAATCGTCACCTAAAATACCCTGTACTTCTGTGTAAACTCAACTGAAAACTGAGTCATCCCATTGATTACATCAGATCACTCGAGGTTAAATAGTGTATCCCCTAATCATACAATTTAGTACTAAGGCTGATGTCACCATGTGACAAACCAACTCGTGATTTTGGATATTTTGTTAGTTTGAATTTATTTAAACCCTGTTATAATGCCGTTTCAATAAGATTAAATTCGTTTATCCTATCATAAATTTCTCTGCTGATCTTTCAAATGAAGCCTTCCAAACCGTCTCTTCGTTGGATCGAATTCGTTTCACACTGGCCATTATGGGCAATTTACATTGCTCATTTCAGTATGAACTGGTCAAATTATATTGTAATGCTATGGTTACCGACCTACCTAGTCCGTTATTTGGGAGCTACTGAATATGCCATAATGCTAACTGCTATACCTTATATATGTAACTGTATTGGGAGTGTTAGTAAGTTTACATTTTCAACTAATATGTAGACTTTCTTAGTATTTATGAATGTTTACGTTATACATTCTTGGACATTTCATAACGTGCGATTCAAGAGAGGTTGGGGATGAATTCCGTATTTCTAAATCACGTTAACATACTAGTAACCGTTTAGCGTGGTACATCCTCACATACTCTCTTACTTGTTTTAAGAGTCAGATGTCTGAAATTTACTCCCAAAGTACTACATATCTTCCTGTCTCATGGGTTTTAATTACTTGTCGGATTTTTTTGAAATACGAAGTAAACTTTGAAATCCTATCTGCGATTGACATCAGATGTCCATTAACTGATTATTCACTCGTCTAGATATGCCGACCAAGTAGTTGTATTTGGTTTTATGTACCTCAAAAACAAGTGAAGCGATTCAGATATTTCTCATTATCCACTCTCGAGCAACAGAAGGGCTCCGTAAAAACCTATTCATTTTACGTTTTACCCTCTTCTAATATCACTTACCTACCTAATCAACACGTTATCGTTTACACTAGTGATGCTGACGGTTAGGTTTTATAGAATAACCTCCCTAGTCCTAATTAACTGGATATAAGCGCATTTAATTTATGTACCTCGTGTTAAATCAGACAATAAACCTCTTTTACAGAATCCAATCTTAAGTGCCACCAGTTTGTATTGTTTCCAAAGCATATTAAGATAATCGAAGTCTATTTCCTTGTTTTGCAGTTAGTTGGGCTTCTAAGATTTACTCTAGAATCATATCAAACGGTAATTCATCTGCACCAATAGTTAGAGGACAAAAAAAGGTTAAAACCAGCAAAAACCACACCGTGAATTAATGTTAGTAAAATATTCTAAGAAAAAGAAAGAATTCAGAATGATTTCAAACTATGTTGTCTCGGATTTCCACTCTTGGATTGTAGTGAATTTCATGATGTTTGCGATTCTCCACATATTGTAGATCAGTGATTGCTTGGTGGCATGTCTTCACGTATGAGAACTTCCTTACCACTAAATGCCCCGGTACGACCGGTGGTGGGGAGAGTCCACTCTCTCGAAATGCTCTCATATGGCCACTGCAAGGGAAGTCCTATCCACTTCCTTATCGCAGCGGGGGTGTTGTTGACAAAATTGAGAGGATGAAAAGCGAATGTCCGGTGCTTTAACCGGGTCGATCGACACGGAAGATCCGCCTAGGGGAGTTGGAAAACCCTGATTCCAAACCAATAGTGCACATGGGTTCCATCATCCTGAAGTAACAAATGGCGTATGAAACAATATTTGGCCACCGGCTATCATCCTAACGTTGCTCTACTGCTTTGTGGATTACACCTTTAAGTCAAAGGTTCGGGGTGCAACCCTCTGAGAAGACTACCTGCTTCGGTCTGGGCAGTATCACAGCCCACACACAAATAAAACGAAATGACAATAATTACTGAAAATACTGTTCTTGCTCCAATTAAAATTCAGACAACTCACATCCATTTGTTAATATTCATTTTTATTTTCTTTACATAATACGTCACTTATCTACTCTCTTTTATTCCCACTTTGTGTATCCTGATTTTTTAACAGCAGCTCGCATATTGTAGAAACCCTGTCCTATCTAAACGATCTCGAGTTGCTGACTGGTCGAAAGTTGAATGCTACCCATTTTTTTTTATTTCCGAAACCACGTATACAATTCGAATTGGTGTGTGGTGGTGTGAGAGATGATGTACGCTAGTAAATTGACTAAAACGTCTAACACTACAGGTTGTATCACATAAATTCAGAATAACACACCTCGACGGGATAAACAATGTAGATTAGCCACCACGATCTACAGATTTACATAACTGAAAGATAGAAGTTACTGTCTCAAAGACTAATTTTGCTATACGGGTAAAACCGGTGAATTTGTTTCCATTAAATGATTAAGGAACACGCTCAACAGGGACTATTCATCATCCATCCACGATATTTGGGAAATATAAATACCTTGAAAATGAAAACAGATTAAATCCCAAGATACAAGACTGTCACTCCTTTTGGAGTACCTATCTGGACTCGGATCGTGCACTTGTTTGCGCTAATCTTACCTTGAGTTTCGGTGACCAACAAATTGATTGTATTAAACAGATCGTTGTCAGTAAATTAGTTGCAGCTTCTGTTGCAACTAAATATCAAACCAAACATGATTCAAGGCTAGGTTATAACCCACTGAAAAGTATGTATAGGAACTGACTGCTTTGCATGACACTATGAAAATGGCGAGCAAAGTCGCTTGTGGCTTCGCTTAGCTTCCTGCTCATAAGCATTGAGTCTTTACAGGCTCCTTACCTATCTGGACTCTGATCATGCACTTGTTTGCGCTAATATTACCTTACTTTTCACTGGTCAACAAATTCATCGTCCTAAACGGATCGATGTCAGTAAATTGGTTGCAACTAAATATCAAACAGAGCCATGAAAATGACGAGTAAAGCCGCTTGCGTCTTCGCGAAACGTCCCGCTTATAAGCACTGGGTTTCTTTCTGGCTCCTAGCAATTCACTGAAGTTCGCCAGTCTGCTTCGGGTGACCATGAGTTTGATTACAAACGACGACTGTTACGTAATGAAATTGGGAAAAGCTTGTCAGGACCGAGAAGTCTAGTGGTCGGAGCGTTCCAATGAGTTGGAAGCAACAGCTGCATCTGGAAACTGCCGGAAGCTCTTTCAACTCATACGAGCTACTGGTAGCGGGAAGTCTGGTGTGAGCGAAACAATCTGCGAAAATGACGGGATGCCAATCATTAACGTCCATCGACGTCTAGGACGATGGGAAGAGTTTTTCGAGGAGCAGTTCAACTGGTCTTCTGCCCCGGCAACATCGATCAAACTGTCCTGCCCTCCATGGCCTGTGACGACTGAGTCACCAAATGGGGCGGAAGTCCGCAAGGAACTCCAACTCTTGAAACGTTACAAATCACCGGGCCCAGACGACTTACCTCCTGCTCTTTTTAAAGATGGTGGTGACTTTCTGACTAAGGGACTGAGGACGTTGTTTACAAAGATCTGGGAACTAGAGAGTGTACCAACGTCATGGAATGAGTCGATAGTTGTCCCTATCTTTAAAGAGGGTTCACGTTGTTCCTGTAACAACTATCGGGGGATAAGTCTACTTCCGATTGCGTCCAAGCTATTGGCCTCCGTTATACTTCGTAGGTTGTTCAAAACCCGAGAAAGATTAACTCGCGAGGAGCAGGCTGGTTTTTGTTCTGATCGAGGACGCATTGATCATATCTTCACCCTCCGCCAAACGTTAGAACACTATCATACTTATCACAGGTCAACAATCGTAGTGTTTCTCGACATCAGAACTGCTTTTGATTCGTTGGACAGGTCTGTTCTCTGGGATTGTCTATTGAAAAAGATTGTGCCTGAGAAGTTTATTAACATCCTAAAAGCCCTATATACAAACACCTCAGGCAGAGTGAGGGCATACAACTACCTCCCTCCATTGTTCCACTCAAGCTGTGGGGTTAGGTAGAGTTGCCCAATCTCACCATTCCTCTTCAACTTTGCTATCGACGACGTTCTGGAAACAGCTCTGATGGTTGTAAGTAATGGCGATGTGGATCTGTTTCCTGAAGAATGACTTCTCGACCTTAATTATGCAGATGATATTGTCTTACTGTGGGATAATACCCAAGCCATGCAATCCACACTTAAACAGTTAGCAATTAGTGTCCGTGGGCATCGCATGTGTTTCTCACCTTCTAAGCGCAAAGCACTTTTACAAGACTGACAGGACTCTGATCCTGCACTCACTCTGAGCAGATAGAAGTAGTCGAGAAGTTCATGTATCTGGGTAGCTGCATAAGTGCTGAGATCAATTCACGTATAGTGAAAGCCAGAGAGGCTCATGATAATCTGGGCCATCTTTGGCGCCTTCGTGATATTATTCTGGCTGTAAGAGGTCGGATCTACAACGCGTCGGTGAGAGCAGTTTTGTCCTATGTTTGTGGAACCTGGCCTCTCGGAGTAGAGGATGTTGGACGACTCTCTGTGTTTGATCATCGTTGTCTCTGAAGGATTGCTGACATCCAGTGGCAACACCATGTTAGTAATGCAGAGGTTCGGCATCGTGTGTTCGGGCACAGAGACGAAAATTCAATTGGTGTCACTATCTTGAAACATCGACTTCGGTGGCTTGGACATGTTCTTCGAATGTCGTCCCAGAGAATTCCACGTTGTGCATTATTTGCCGACGCTGAGACTGGTTGGGAAAAGCGGAGAGGTGGTCAGTGTATGACATGATGTCGTTTTATCAAAAAAAAGCTCTGTTGGACTGGCTTCTGTCGGTCTTTCACGACTCCCTGGTTGGGGTCCTAGAGATGGTGCAACACAGTGGCTAGGGACGTTATCAGATATGGCTCAGAATAGAAGCCAGTAGTGATCTTGCTGTAACTTTATTTTACTTTCTTCATTAAAAAATGGACGTAACGCAAAATTGTAAATTTTCTTAATCAAACCTGAAGCGCATCTACTTATTCAAGTTCATCTGTCGTAAAAGATATTTTGCTGTTTACGCTAAACCTATTCTTTCCTTTCAGTCGCCGGACGGCTAGCGAATTACTTAACTAAACGGCAGTTCACTGTACTAACTGTTCGACGCTTAATGTCATCTATTGGTCTTCTTGGTCCAGGTGTGGTACTTTTTTTGTTTTCTCTATCAAGCAGTGTAACATCAGCTATCGTGTGAGTTTTTAGATTTTTATTTGTAATTTTCTCGTTATCTCTGAAATATTTTATTGGAATAGCGTTTTGCAACACTCCTTCAGGTAGGGAGTACCTAAATAAATCTACTTGGTAATACTACAGTTAGATTTCTTAATGCTGTCAAGTTGCATCTTCTCCAGCATTATTATCAGTGTGTCTGCTGTGTAGCTCATTCCACTATTAGGTTAATCACGATCCTAATAGCTTTACCAATATCCTTTTTGTATTTAATTCAAACTTTTTAAAATAAGACATCTGTCTTCAAATTTCCCAACAGGAATGTGACGTAGTTCAATAATTTTCTTTCAATTCCACCCAAAATTCCTGCACTAGTTGCAACGATCTACCACATGATCTCGCTCTTTTGGTTGTACTCTTCGGAAATTTTATGCTTTCCCCAAAGTTACTTAGTATCTGCCATCCATGCATCGTGCGCATCAGATATTTTATTATATATATGTATTATTCGGTACTAATAGTCATATCAATTTTATTTATATATATTCAGTGTAAAAGTTAAAAACACTAAGTTTTTACTTATAACATCACTTCTCACTATTTCTTATGCTTTCTTGGTTTCCATTGAAATTTATAGTTACTTGTTACAGGTTCTGTTTTTTTGTGCTAAATACTCTCAAAAATTATAGTTTTGTTTCAGGGAAACGTATAGTGGTTCGAACTGTTTTGTTAGTCAATAAAAATCAACGTTAAAGATTACCACAAATTATCGGGTTTTTTGTAGAAACAGTGAAAAGAACAATGATAAATAGTATAGGGTTAGATTGAAGTAAAACTAGTGGACGAGCTAACGTGTAACTTTGCTCGATTGAAGTTAATTTTGAGGTACGCTTAAGTCTTCCTTCCTGGAATAATAATGTGTTTTAGTTTGAATTTTCTGATACTTCCTGGCACATTCCTACTCCAGAAAAGCATTAGCAACCTTTATTTTAGATAGGTGTCTGTGGGTTATAACCTGTTATCGAACTATATCGATGTCTAAAGGCTTGCAGCACCACGAATTTTTCATCTTTACGGAAAACAGTGTAACCCTTTTCATCACTGTGTAACCAGAAATTTCGCCACAACGGTATTAATGTTAAAATATCGCTAGTTCAGATATTTGCAGTATTCTAATTTCATCCATTTATATTCGTTGACCACATCGTATTACTTTTCAGGACAGTTTTCGCTACTCATCTATGCATTTTATTTTGCCTCTGCTTCTAAAGTCGGCGTAATCTGTAGACTATCAAACAATCTCTGTGTCCTCTTATCGAAATATCAACTGAATTCATTTTCACTACGACACCCCAAACTACGTGTTCGAATAAGTCACTTTCAAAACCCATTCTTCACTTCATAATCCTTTATGGCTCCTTTATAGGCAGCCTGAGTATTTTCTTAAGGTTGATGGCGATTATCCACTAATAGCTATAACATTGTTCTTTTTTGAAGGGGACGTTAACATTCATTTTCCAGTAGCACTTGGTGAAACTTAGCGATGATGTTATTTTCTGCAATTATCCAAGGGGAAATGCAAATTCTTCAAGTATGGCGTAACTTGTGTCCAAATGCATTATGGGAAATAAGCGAATTTTTGCAACGTGATACCCTGGACACCAAGTTTCTAATTGAGATTTAATCTATGTAAAAGCCAATGAAGTGTGTTTCATTCAAAAAGTGAAGATGACCAGTCAAATTCAAGCTGGGTGGAATGGGTTATTTGTATTTATAGGAAAATCGTCGTTCATGAGGTTGTAATGAAGCGTGATGACATTATAGTTAAAACATCTGATCCGAAAGACTCCATGATGGAGAAATTTTATTACAATTCTGACACTAACATGCAATCATATATGCGTAACCCTACAGTCATTTAGTTTTCATCGGAGTATGTGAATCTGATACAACGATAAAAAATAAGGTAAATCTACAGTACTTCATGGGTATGCTTGTCCTTATATTCCTGTGTACAATATGTATCATTCATGTAAACAGAAATTCGTTTTTCCCTTTTGCCTTAGAAAAACGTAGCGTCGTACTGAGATTTTCTTCGATAAACATGAAATATTATCAGGTGTTGACTTTTTTACGGGACTGAATTGAATGAATATTCTCATTAAACGTTCCTATGAATTATCGTTATGTTGTCAGTTGGTATTCCCTATCATTTATGAGTAATTACTTCTAGATTATGACTATTATTTCACTGAGTATAAACTGCAAAATATTTGTACAGAAGTCTTTTAAATCCGTCTGTAGCCTTATGATTTGTACAATATTCTTTTACTATATTTTCCAATTGTTTAAATTTGTGCATATCATGGAAAATTGTTTTGTTTTTCTTTAGTCAATATTATTCGTTAATGTTGATTATTTAGAAATTAATAGTGTTAATTAGCTTCAACATAAATGTAGATTTAAAAATATATATATTTAAAAGCCTTCCTGTTAAGAAATTTCAGTTTTTGCGAGTTCATAGGAAAATGATTTATCTTTTATTCAGTCCTTAACGAGAATAAAAATTAGCTCAGTAAATTAGATGCAAATGCGTGTAATGGTCGTGAATCCCACTTAGTATACTTACTGTAAACCACCACTGGATTATGCATTCCTAAGTAAGGTAAGTTTCATTATCACATCTTATAGAAATGCATATTATTAGATGATTTGATTACTTGTTATGAAGTAGTGTTTTCTTGTTGACTTTCAACAGAACCCATCTAATAGAATTCAGAATTTATTTTCTGTAGTTTTACCACTAGCATCAGCTGTAAATATACCTGAAAAGTTTATAAAGTTATCGTTTGCCATATGGCATTCACGATATTGCTGTCAGTATCAAAATATTATGAGTGTATTATATTCTTTTTTCGACCTTTTACTTTGATTCAACTCATTGGATTTAGCCTGATTTCTGTGTCCATGACATTTTCCGCCTTCAATTCTGCTGGACATTTATGTAATCATGTAGAGGTTGCACCTAATCATGCAGGCACCACATTTATCATAAGCAATATTTTGGTGAGTATCATTAACGTTTATTTTGTTTTATTGGAAACTGATTCAGATTTATCTATTTAATACTGAGGTATGTTTTTTGGTGTCTCCCATGTCGTTCATCAAAGTTTATCGTTAATTACTGTGAGATTTAGCCTGTTAACATGAAAAATCAGTACTACGATTTAAAAAGATTGAAAAAGCACAAGAAATTAAAACCATAAATAGCGGGATAGTGAAGCTTGAATAAAAATGATGATTAGTTTTTTATTGCTCTCTGTATTGATTATCAACATTCTCACCCATTATTAAATAAATAGAGATCAATTCATTCCGTTCCTCTTAAATGTTAACGTAATGTTGCTTCATAATTGAGGGATATTTTACTGCGCTTATTGGATCGTTGACTGTTTCGCCAATAACTAATACTGTTACAACCGTGTGTAAGGGATCGATTAAACGTTTCTCTGTTAATTTGTTCAGACATATTAATCTCATACTATCTTAGCAAAAGATGTGTTTAAAGATCTCAAGGTTGGTGGGCTGTATTTTATGTAAATTTTTTTTAGAAAAGATATAGAGTCCACCTACGTGCTTTAATAGTAGAGTCTCGAAGTTATTTATTTTTAAGAAGTTGTGAAATTGAAAGCTGTTGTTTCTTGCATATTTAGTTTATAATTAGTGTTCATACTCAAGTAGAAATAGATCAACAGAAGTATTGTATCCTGAGCACCTGTTGACTTCAGATCATATTATGCGAAATTTGATTAGTTTTGGGATATAAATAATTCTCATATAGTCGATTTTTAAGAAGTAACGTGAACAGTTCTCTACATGCTTTGACGTAACTCCCGCTACAATGGATCGTGAGAATAGAATGTTTAAATTGGATTAAATCATATATGCGAGTCGTCCTCCTGAAAATCAATGCTATTAGTAAAGTTGTAGTTGTTGTGTGATCATCCTCCAATGAATTTTTCTTTCTATCATTCTCAGCGAGATTATTATTCACCTTCAGTAAAAATTCCTCTACGATCTTGAAATAAACTTATACCGTTGTGCGAAATGAAGTTAAATAGAACATCCACCTTTCATTTTTGTGAAAACTGATACCACTAAACCGATTAAAAATAAAAAAGAAAGAGGATAGAATGGGTGAACAAAAATCCCAAGGATTTAATAATCTGTACACTTAAATCATGAAATGACATACAGGAAGTCATTGAGTCTAATGGTCTGAACTGGTGGTCAAAAGCACTCACTGCCACATAGGACTGTTTTGAAGAAAGGTGAGATGAGGTTTTGGTTTATTATATAAGATTTCTGTGCCACTGCAATTAGTAATAAAGTAAATAAATACAGTTTCACGATTGAAACTTTGAAAGTCTTCGAAGTAGATGGGAAGGATTAATTCAGTTAATTGTCGTTAAATCACAGTATCTGACTACAACTCAGATTTTCTTTCCCCAATAATTTTTATGTGTTAATGTGCGAGTCCGTTTATTTATTCTCTTTATTCACATTCTTATTGTGTAAATTCCGGGCTGAATTTGTCTATGTGATAATTAATGCATACTTAAGCATCAATGTGACGATGTAGATGCATAACCAAATCATGTTTCATACATAATTTCAATAAACTATTATTTTTTGATTTTATGAATTTTGAAGAATGTTATCACGGTTAATCTGTGAATAAAGTTTTGCAGTGAAGTGATTCACTACGGCTATTTCGGCGTTAACCCATTCACTTCTACTTGTTAATCATTTCCTCTGTTGCATTTCCAACTACACTTTCCCATGTTACTTCTAGTGACCACTTGTAGCGTGCTTTTTACTATCTTAGCTGTATATTATCTCGAAACACTTGTCTAAATTCTAGATAAGGTGATTCTAATTTAAATGTAGTAGTAAATAATGCTTGGAAACAGTATTTAATATAGCTAATTTTCATTTCGCCTTATCGTTCATTTCATTTTCTATTATATATAGGCTACTATACCTGGAATAGTATGTGGTCCACTAACTGCTGAATTAGTTATCACATCTGGTGGAAGGTGGTTTCCTGTATTCATACTAGCTGGTTTTATAAATGTAGTTGGTGCTGTTGTGTACATTAGCCAGAGTTCTACAACGCAAGTATTGTAATCATGCGAATGATGTGTACAGATGTCCATGTACATTCACTTTTTTTTATTCTTTTAACTTTGTATCTGACTTTTTCCCTACTCAAGTCCATACTTTCTCTCACTACTTACTTAATTTATCATGAACTGTGCCTTCAACTTTCTGTTTGACGAAATTCGTTGTCAAATTTACTTATCAACCATGCATAGTATCTTTGCGGAGATATGGCCAAGATTTATTCATTGAATTTATTCGGTTAAAATTATTCACCCTTTACTATAATGAAATCACAATGTTTTGTTATAAATTAGTAAATCGATAAATTATTGTTACTCATTCCCTGCTTTTAACAAATAATACTGAGCATTAAAAATGAATTAATACACTGGCAATATTACGTTATAGAATTAAGGATAAAACGTAGTTTCTTATGCTTAGTTTTATCAATCACGGTAAAATTTGAAATAATTGTATGATAAAGAAACAAATACATGACATAATAGTCGGAATAATTTACTGCTATAATTCTGTTATGAATAACCTATGGCAGTGAATTCCTGCAATAATAGAAGGATCTAGGAATATAAAAAGTTCCATTTAGGAACTGGGGCATTTCCTATAATTGCACTAACACAGTACGTTTTATCATCTTCAATTTTTCCAATTTGATGCAGACCAGACAACAGATAGGTTTGGTTGTCTTCGACAGATTGACATAAGCAGACTGGTTGTACCTTCTGTTACGATCAAGTCGAGTTGGGATCAAGGTTAGCTACTATTCTACCGGAAACCGCAGAGAAATGGTTGTGCTTGGGTGACACCATAGAAGTGGCGGGTCAAGTCGCTTGCGTCTCTGAGAGACTCCCCGCCCTCTAAGCACGGATTTTACAGACCCATCGGTCTATTCTGGCGAATCGCAAGTTTGATAACATGTGAATTCATAGCTCAGAACCTTTTACAACGTTTGTATAAGGAGTGAGTAACCTGAAGTCCTAAACAAACGATTTGTAAGCAGTAGGTAGATCCGATCCTTGACGGCAGCTGTTTCATTTTATCTTGCCCTGTGCTCTGTGACCAGTAACTTTAGGTCAACCCAGTGAAGCAGAGATCTGTCCAGAGCTCCGGATTCCGGTTACAATTCAGGACCATGAACACAGAACATCAACAAATATAATAATACTGAAATGTGAACTTAATTTGAATCGTCCCGTAGAATTTGTAATTACTGATAGCCGGTTTACCTCAGTACAGCGTATATTATACGTGGTTACCAGTTCCGGCATCAGCACATAAGCTAGGCATTCTTTAGTTGATTCCGGAGGACCATCACATATGATCTCGCAAAATCTTTTTAAACACCTGTAATAACTTACGAACTGACCACAAAACTTGAGCTTCTCCAAAGCAACTTCAAAAGTACGCAATTCCTCATGTGTTTTCAATGGGAATGTGAAACTTGAAGTGTCTGTGTAGTCGGTGCACCTGTCCTTCACACCCATGGATGAGCTTATAATGTAAGTGATCACTTTATCAATCTTGGTAGACTGGTTACTTTCACAATCATTTTGTCAACCTTTTGCTATCATGTTTACATGAACACCAACTTAGGGTTGACTAACTTCCGTTGAAGTAGATGGAAGTGGTGGTGAGAAAAGCTCTATTTTCGATTAACTGCTTTATTAACATTCATTCAATATGTACTTATTTGCTATAGGTGAAAAGTTCCCAATCAGAATGTTGACAACCGGAAAGTCGACTGGGACACATGCAGCTCCCATTTCAACAGACTCTGGTTCTTCAGAAGTGCTCAAGTAATCGTTCATTTTGCGTTTGACAGTCCCCACAATAAGTTAATTGCATATGTTTAGCAGTTTGCCTTTTCGGCTTCTTCGTTACACACGGTGGCGTGTCGTCCTCGGGTGCATTTATGCTTTTGCAACCGAGTACTGTAGTAAAAGATGCTTTCAGTCACTCGGCTGTATGGTAGTCATCTGAAAACAATGAAATCAAAGTGATTACAACTTACCACAACGATGCAATACTGTGCATTTTCTGAAACAAAAGCTACTGTTGCAATCGATACTATCACGAATATCGGTTACAGTCACATCATCACGATAAACAAACAGTTGGCTTTTGTGCAGCCATTTGCTAGGGATGACTATAGCTCGCTTTAAACTATGCTCATTATAGACTAAGTGTTCCCTACCTTAACAGCATTAGTAACTCAAAAATTTGTTCAGATTAACGCGAACACTTTTTCTGAAAATGGTATGTAGCTGGGTGGGATAATAAATGTACTGACAAAGATGGGCGCTGGAAGTTTCTGTACATTGCTAATGGTAACCTATCATAAAGAACTACAGGAACTAAGTGTAATAAAAACAACCGATATTTAGTTGCTTTCCGTCCAGAACCTTCGTATAACGAACGACATTTTCTTCGGAAGTCGCATGTAGTGTGATTTCTACATAAGTCTATTGCTACACTGATGGATGCGAAAATAGATTGATCCATCAGATTGATTCGCTTAATAGCTAGGTCCCTCCATAAGGATGTCGGATGAAACTAGCAAGGTCGAATGTCAGAAATTTCATCTCCCCCACCTATTGTATAGTAATTAATATCTTTCGTATTAATAAGGTATTTACGAATTAGAGGAAATCTTGATTTATGGATAAAACAATAGGTAAGCGGCAATGGTGTAGTTTGCCAATTCTGTATGAAACAATTACTTTGTGTTTAGTTTAGCTAACAAGTAAAAAAACGTAGTTGTTACGATGGATTACCTTATTTGAATTAATTTAAATGACCAAACTAAGAATTTCGCTAAACAAAGTTCTATCTAATGATAGCACAACGAGAGATGTGACTGAATGTATAATTACTTATTAGAAAATGTAACCCACAATTTAAATACTAACATGCGATTGAATTAAAATGTCTATGTATATGGAGGAGGTGACTGAAAAGGAAATTGGATTAGAGGTGGTCTTAGTGACCTGAGAGCGTGATCGCAGTGCCCAAGGGACAACTGCTTGAGGTCGGTCACGCACGACCTTTTTATGAGTAATTTTCGTGTTGGCTCCGTACTTGTTGAGACCTTACCGCCGGAGACGGATATCCGTGGGATAAGGCGAGGTGTGTATCTTTAGGGTCGACCTTTTCTAACCCCACCCCCTCCTAGTGGGAAGGCAGCATCGCTGTTATGCTAGTTGTCTGAAGGAAACACCTTACTGCTGTCACACCTCTGTACAGTCAGCAGTACGACTTCGCCTTCGAACCTTGGGTTTGTTGCTTTTAGTCTTACCGCTCTTCAACCGACGTGTCTGGCATTGTAGGACATTGAGGAACGGTTGTTCCTGCCAGTATAGCTCGGTTGTTTCATCACGACAGGCAAGCCCGACCACCATGTCAAGGTAGCAACAACGTTCAGGAAAATGTCTGTGTTATTCGTCTAATGAATAATCAAGGACAAGTATAGATATTTCATAACAACTTATAGTTATTGATCTTAACATGTGAAGATTAAAAGTTATTTGTCATTCCCAGACAAGACCGTGCAATAATTTTAAACCAGAAATAGAACTCTTGTCTAATCGTCTGATTAGAGAACTCAGGGAATTCAGTGAGGCGATACAACTGGCGAAAAATTTACAGTTCATAATTTGAAAACCTTGAAGAGTAGGTAAAGCTTCATATTTTCTGTAACCATTTTATTTAAGTAAGCAATGATACTTAATAGTTCATCTTGACTACAATTTTTTTATCATAAGCTCGGGTCGAATCCCTTGACAGCAAGTGTAGTTGGGACAAAGTTTACTTGTAACAAGTCTTTTAACTCAGTGGATGGTCTCAACCAATTTTTCTTTGGCAACGTGGATAAATATGGTACATTGCAGTTGATTGCCCAAGTTAATTTTACGCCTCTCCCAGAAACAACTGTAGGATTATGATATTTGATATGATATCTACACCAAAATAAAATTATCATTTTAATTGTGAATCCTATTTGTTTGAAAGCCACAAGCATAAAAATGGTTTATAAATAAAAAAGATTTAAATAATATAGCATTGAGTGGGATAATATTCCCACTTTCTACTAAAATGTTTTTTTAGATTTAGTCATTAATGCTGCTGCTAATCCATTTTCGTTTAACATATTCGGTTTTCCTTATATTCAATTTTCTTTCGATAACATGCAGCACGTTCGGTCATGTACCACCTACGGCATGGACTGTTTTTAAGAGCTTTATCCGACAGTCACAAATATATTTTATTATACACCTCAATAGTGTGATAAGTTTCATTCTTCTTAAATGAATGTTGGTTTCTTATCATCACTCCTTTGATCCAAAGCTCTGAATAAGTGAAGTAGTAGATTTTATAAGAATTGAATATTACCTTGCTAATTCCATCCTAATTTAAAATATGTGAACATGAATTTTGATGGACAATGCGTACGTTAAACATAGGATTCAAATGTGTAGATAAGGGTTGCATCTTATGTACCCTGTAACTGTAAGTAATTACAGTTATGAAAACTAAATGGATAAAGCGTTAATGGCCCACAAATAGGATAAACAACTCTTTCATTCACTGTGTTCTTGGATGTGAGTCATACTCCAGTTGCGAGGGCTAAAGATACTACCTAGTTAACTAGACCAAACTAGGTGAGCGAGTTCAAGCCTAAGACTTAGAAATTGATACTACTAAGCTTCCCGAAAATAAGTACAAATGGACTCTTGACTATCAAAATCTGTGATCTCTGACTGATTGAAAAGTGAATAACAAGTTCAATGATGAAAATCAAATCCTAGTTAATTCTTTGAGTGTTTTCAATTTATGTAATCCATATATATCGAATAGTTAGTATCTCTAACACAATATCAATAAAAAATGTTTATTCTAGGGTCATGTATGCCTACAATATTGTGGGTTCAAGAGCACTGGAAGAGTTATTAGCTCGCAATAATCGCTAAGTATCAAAATTACCTGCCATTTCAGAAGTTGCATCATATAGATCAGGTAAGATAAAGAGCACTCATACTTCTGCACTGAATGAAGACCATTGTTGATGTATTTTCGAATAAATTGAGCATTGGGTTGATTGTTATAAATAAATAATATATTTGTAATATCCCAATGAGTAGAAAATTAGATTTTCTACTCATTGGGATATTACAAATATATTATTTATTTATTGTTGATGTATGTTGACTTTAGTTAAGTATCGAATGATTTTTACAATTATATCTAGGAAAATAACGATCTAACAATCCGATCTTTAAGTAACATGAGAATAAAATCGTTATTCACCTGTTTTGCCACAATTTATTGGACTACTTAGAAGTAGTTGTTAACTTTTGATAATTAGCAGACATTATAGATGAGTAACAATTAGATGTGCAGAACTAATAGATCTCCACATATATTTCAATTTATTATTAATTCAGCTTAAATAGGCGGGACCAAATATTGAAATTAATTTAGGTTTGGGGGTACAGTATATAATCTATTTGTCAACTTTTAAAATGCTCTGTATGTCAAGTATTTTATAATAATACAATATATGCAATATTGTTGAAGTGAAACACATATATTAATTACTAGTAAAAAGTCTTATGGAAATAACCGAATGGACATTAGCTTACTCTTTACATCAGCAAGCCGGACACCGAGATCATACACAGTACTAGATCTTCTACGTACCTGAGCATTTTTGTCACACTTTAGAATTATTACGTTTATACTAACAAGAACGGGACCGCTTAACCTACTCAATTCGAACGATTTTTGATTCTAAAGACATATTGAGATAACTGTATATCTCTCTTTTAGTGATCCGTATGGCCCTGACGGCAAATTTCTTTGCATGAGTAAGTGGATCTGTACTGATCTATGTTAGTAGGAATATGATACGTCAACATAACAAAACATCTTTTAGTAAACCTTGAGATGTTAATAACAATGAATATTTCGAATTTTAATGAGTTTCCCTTCATCCCAATTTCTCCGTCTCAGCATAATAGCCCCTGGTCGCTAATTTAAATGGGGAACTGTAGCCTTTGTGTGAACCAATGATTTCTTTGTACTTGATGACTTTATGATTGCGAATTCAAAATACAATACGTTCCTTTAGGCTTACTTAGTTCTATTTGGCCTTAATTGGGTTATTTCTGAGATTTCTAGTTCGTATAATAATCCAAATACTTCTAATAATCACAGGGACTTCTGAAGTTCGTCTCAGTACCATTTTTAAATATTTAACCCTATCCAATACTTAGTTTATGTTCGACTTGACTGAATAACGAAATTTTACCACATGAGCACCAAGTTCAGAAACCCTTTTAAAGGTTAACAAATTTAAATTAACAGCATTTATCCCGATGTGTTTGTAGAATTTCGTAGGTGGAAAACCTAAGCAAATATTGCGGATTTCGGTGATCCATTGACTCTACTGCCTAGTTTGATGTAACGATAGAAAATTTTGTCCGTTCACTGCTTTTGTACAGGTCTTTCAAGGCGATAATAAACACCTTGAAGGCAAATTTCTTCCGGAAAGTGATTGAAAGTTTTCAATCTCTTCGAGTGAAGACGCACTGACTGATTTATAGGATTTCTAATAAATGAAACATTTAACTCGTGTATTACCGTAATACATCTCTAATGACTACTAGAACCCTCTAGCTTGACATGTGATAGTTCTCTTCAGGAAATAGCTAATACCTGCCCAAACTAATTAGATTACATATTTTGAAACACTGAAACACTAACGCATATCACTGGTTATTAGTTGAACCTCTTATGCGGGAATCATAAGACTTAAATAAACCCGTACTGACTCACTAAAGTACACATCAAACATGCAAGCTTACTACACAACAAATCCCAATAATGTCAATAGTTGAAGTATAGTGAAAAGAGTGCACCGACATTCATTTTGGCTGATTGCTTCAAAATATACACCTAACAATGATAATTTAGAACTAAATTCGAAATTTTTCCCTATTAAAGTTTAGAGATATTGATGAAAAAGGCAATAAGCATTACGCAATTATGAAAAATAATTAGACATACTACTTACTTGACTTCACACTTACGTAGACGAGAGTATACATTATGCACACATAAATAGCGAATCTAAAACAGTTCGTAAAAGGTTCAACTACAGCTCACTAAAGACCATATTATAGAGTTTCCCTGGGGAACACTCTGTTTGAAAAGTAAAAGATATCGCTACCAAGTTACCTAAATTCTTAAAGTGAAGTCATGAATTGAGTTAGAAAAATAAACTCCTGGTTCACTGTGATCATCTGAATAATAAGCCTAAGTATCTAGTCAAACACAAGAAACAAGCAGGGAGTTGTAAGCTAAAATGTGACTGGTTTGTTATCTAAAAAGGAGACTGTTTTTAAAAACATTTCTTGAGAAAAAACTCAACAGGAACGGAAAAAGGCGTATATCAATAGGAAAATAGTAACCAACTTCTGAGCTGTGAGAAAAAAATAATCCGATTTTAGTAGAAAGGAAAGTGGAAAAAACGTTTAAAACTAAACACTACTAATTATTGTAATATAACAGCTCTTTAAGTTTTTTTCATCTATGCACATATTTCTTTTCTTCCGATAAACACTAAGTCGATAAATAGACACAACACATACAAGGGAAGATAAATGCTGCATTGAAGAAGGAAGGAATCACAACGACATTTCTAAAACCAAAGGTACAACTTTCTGAACGTATATAAACACATGGAAAAAAACGAGCCAGTAGATTAAAAGAATCAACAAATAAATGAAAAATTCTAAATTTTGATTGTCTCTGGTTCCTTTTTCCTTAATATATATATTTATATGATTCTGCTTCTTTTATCAGTCTCTCGCGTAACCAACTGGTTGAATAAGAGGAATAAGAGCGTTAGCTAGTTCTGGAGTTCCCGCACATATAACATTCCTCGCCATTAAATCTACAGGTTTACCTAAACAAAATTTAGAAAGAAAATATGTAACATTACTGAATTGTTATGACACAGTAATTCAGTCTGGTTTCTCGTTCACAAATACAACTGACACATGCAATTAGGAGAATAAAAGTTTGCACATATTGCTAGATAGAACTTATTTTCCAGGCGGATAGTAACAACTGGATGTCCATGTTGCCTTTTTGCATAAATTTATGAAAACTAAAATTGAAGTTATCATGACCAGAACCGAAATAAACAGAATGATTGTATTCAAAGATTTATAGATGAAATTCCAGACTGAACTCTACAACACTGGATGGATATGATAACGTTGAATTAACGAAATAGATTTGTATCCATTAAAAACGCCGAGTTACAACTAAGCTTGAGAAGATAAAAATTTGCAAAGACAATACATTCACTAGTGTTCAAAGCCATCACAAATAAATACTTTTCGAAGTGAAACTAGCTGTAGATATTTTCGGATAAAGTGTATCAATATGCGTTTGTTACAAACTCGAGTAAAATATGAACATTCCATCACCAACCATTTATAAGATCAAGTTGAGTTTACTACCGGTAAGCCGTCCAGTCACTATTGATAGTTCGATTTTGTGGTTTAAACAAGAAGTTATTGTTCCTACAATGTAGTTATTCATATAGACTTGTAGAAACCACAAAATGACGTCGCTTTCTAAAGTTTACCTTTGACTCGCGTATTGATCATGTAAGAAGTCTTTCGGTTCAATTATTAGTACTAAAGATCAAAATGAAAAGGAATCATTTATTTACTACTATTTTCCACAATTTTTGTGTAATTAACATCAAAAGTGAGTCTAGAAATATACAATCGGTCATTTTTGGAACTACATAAATTAAGTCATTACATACACTTACATGATAGAACTGAGAAAAGAGTAATATTAAATCATCAATGTATGGTTAATTGCTTTGGTAGGACGGCTACTAAATCCGATATCGTCTGGTAATCATGTCAATGCCATTTAGCGTACAAAATGTCGAGATACTAGGTTTTACAAAATACTTGTTACTGACTTAAATTGAGCTAATCCGTTTAAGTGAGGAGATCCAAAGGAACTACATGCTGCGTAACTCTACAATTTAGTAAGACACCTCGACAATCGACATAATTTTGTTTGGCTGATAAATATTTCATATTGAAACAAACGAATATGCCACATTCAATACGTTATTATAAAATATGATTATTACTTACATCGTTTATAATTTAGTATTTACAGTAAATAAGATTGATAAACATTTGAAAGTATTGAGACTTTCGCAGTACAGTGTATGGTGAAACCGTATAAGATGGACGTAATGAAAAATGTTAAAACTCGTAAAATGAATATTATTGTTGAAAGCTTGCCAGAAGCTTTCATCATAATTTTTTCATTAACAAATCTCAAACTAGAAGTGTTGTTCACTTAATATACTTCTTACCACGATTAAGTAAGATATACACAATGAACACATTATGTTCATAATTCCTTCATTTACCTTACCTTTAGTTATTACCGAAAGCAATTTTGAATTTTGAGACAGGACAGGATCACAATATGAGTCACTCAAATGGCAGAAGTGGAAAATTCGTGTGAAATTTCACTTTCGTTTACAAACAGAAAGATATATCAGCCTGAGTATTCATGAATAAAAATTGGAGGAATAAAAGTAGACACCATAGATTTAAACTGTGATCATCACTATTACGAATTATACTTAAACATATATATGTAATATATATAAATAAAAATGTTGAAACTCAGGAAACTGCATAAAATTTTAGAATTTTTTTTCTCTTATGTGAATAACAATATTTTCTTATTAAGATAGACAAGTAGTAGCATATTGAAAACACAAATTAAATGCATGTAATTCACTTAAAGCTTTCGTTTTACTCTGTGGCGCAATAAGCCAAAAAATTTGTCAGCGAGCTCCCATACAACCAGTTGACTACCACTAACGTGATAATTAGAGTTGAGATGTTTATGCATAAAATAACAACTCAGTTGTCAAAAATAAGTTCTTTTCAACCAATAAATCAGTCATAAGACGATAAATAAACTAGTACCCAATCACGGCATGTAACTTAAGCCAATGAATTAAGAATTGGAATTCTGATCTACATTCTTTATTCTCACCAAATAATTACAATTACAAAAGGAAGTTATTTGCTTAACTATACAGTAGTTTATTACCGAATTCTGAAAACTTATTTTTCAGCATAATACAAATGTATAAGCTCGATTTGTTGAAGAAACGAAATCGAAAACTTTAAACCACGTAACGTACCGTCAAAATTACAACAAAAACCTCCAGCTTCACGAACAATTAATACAGCTGCGGCATAATCCCAACAGTGAATTCCAAATTCGAAAAATATATCACCATTACCAGCAGCAATCTGACACATATGCAAGGCAGCTGAACCCATGGTGCGCACTCTAAGTTGCAAAATAAAAAATTACTCAGTCAAATAACTACTAAACAATAGTTTTACATTTGAAATACCAACAACTAATTTCGGCAATCCTAATTTTTGAAAAAAAATTAAACTGAATGATCTGGCGTGATTTCCAGAGTTCCGCAACTTGAAAAGAACCTGGATTTCATTGGCAGTTAATACTGATATAAACAAAACAGTAAATAAAGGATAGTAAGAAGATATTACTTCAATATGACGCTGAAAACTTCCGTGATTTATGACAACAATCCCTATCCATAAGACTTGATTGAGTTTTAACTTCCTGTATGCCACAAAGAAACTCCGCCTGGAATCCCTTTCCGGGGGCTACTCCCGGTCCCAAGCCCGGATAAAGGAGGAGGGTTGGGCATGGGGTTAGCGACCCCATCCCGTAGAAAACTAACTCGCTAAAAAACGCTAACCAGAAAAAATTATTCAAACCATTTAAACTCTGCCCTAGGAGTCAGGAGGTCTCCGTTTAGAAGAATTATGACGCCTCATGATGAAAGCCGAGTTCCTTCGGAAGTCACGAGGCCGATGCCCCTTCTGACAACCAGAGCAACCGTTTATTTAGGTACATGGAATGCTCGCACAATGTGGGAGGCTGGGAGAGTTTTCCAAATTGCTGCAGAAATGAGGAGATACAATTTAGAGGTGCTTGGGATTAGTGAAACACATTGGACGCAAGTTGGACAACAACGACTAGCTTCAGGGGAGCTGCTGTTATACTCCGGGGATGAAGAAGAAAATGCCTCACATACACAAGGAGTTCCATTGATGCTGTTCAAACAAGCACAAAATGCACTTATAGGATGGGAATCTCATGGACCAAGGATCATCAAATCCTCCTTCAAAACAAAGAAAACGGGGATTACAATGAACGTCATCCAATGCTACGCGCCTACCAACGACTACAATGAAGATGCTAAAGATTAATTCTATGATAGGCTGCAGTCAATCGTTGAGAAGTCCTCAACAAAGAACCTGACCATTCTGATGGGAGATTTAAATGCCAAAGTTGGAATGGACAACATCGTATATGAAGAGATGATGGGACGACACGGACTGAGAGAAAGGAACGAAAATGGTGAGAGATTTGCAAACCTATGTGTCTTCAATAAACTGGTTATAGGCGGCACTATATTCCCACATAAACGCATCCAAAAAATGACGTGGACTTCACCGGATCACACTACGCAAAACCAAATCGACCATATCTGCATTAACAAAAGGTTCAGGAGGACGATGGAGGATGTGAGAACCAAGAAAGGAGCTGATATAGTATCAGATCATCACTTGCTGATCGCCAAGATGAAATTGAAACTCAAGAAGCACTGGACAACGGGGCGGACAACATCGCAAAAGTTTAATACGGACTTTCTTCGGGATACTAACAAACTCAACGAATTCAAGATAGCCCTCAGCAATAAGTTCCAGGCCTTTCATGATCTACTCAATGGAGAAGGAACTACTATGGAGAGCAACTGGAAAGAGATGAAAGAGGCAATCACTTCAACATGTCATGAGGTTCTGGACCAAAAGAAGCACCATCACAAGGATTGGATCACGGTCGATACACTGAACAAGATTCAAGAAAGGAGGAACAAGAAAGCAGCAATCAATACCAGTCGAACAAGAGCAGAAAAAGTCAAGGCACAGGCTGAATACACAGAAGTAAACAAGCAAGTGAAGAAGAGCATCAGAACTGACAAACGTAAATATGTGGAAGATTTAGCAGTGACGGCGGAAAAGGCTGCAAGAGAAGGAAACATGAGACAACTGTATGAAACAACAAAGAAACTCTCTGGAAATCACCGTAAACCAGAACGACCAGTGAAAAGCAAGGAAGGCAAGGTAATCACCAACATTGAAGAACAACGAAACAGGTGGGTAGAACACTTCAAAGAACTCTTGAATCGACCAGCCCCACTGAACCCACCCAACATCGAAGCAGCACCCACGGACCTCCCAATCGATGTTGACCCACCAAAAATTGAAGAAATCAGACAAATCAAGTGTGGCAAAGCAGCAGGACCAGATAACATTCCAGCAGAGGCACTGAAAGCAGACGTAGCGGTAATTGCAAGGATACTCTACATTCTTTTCAGCAAGATTTGTAATGAGGAACAAGTACCAAAAGACTGGAAAGGACTTTTGGTCAAAATGCCAAAGAAAGGCGATCTCAGCAACTGTGATAGCTACAGGGGAATCACTCTTCTTTCAATACTAGGAAAAGTCTTCAACAGGATATTGTTAAACAGGATGAAGGACTCCGTAGACGCCCAACAGGCAGGATTCCGTAAAGATAGATCGTGTACAGATCAAATCGCAACTCTACGGATCATTGTAGAACAATCAATTGAATGGAATTCATCACTCTTCATCAACTTCATTGACTACGAAAAAGCATTTGACATCGTGAACAGAACAACCCTGTGGAAGCTTCTTCGATAGTACGGTGTGCCTGAAAAGATAGTCAATATCATACGGAATTCCTATGATGGATTAAACTGCAAAATCGTTCATGGAGGACAGTTGACAAAGTCGTTCGAAGTAAAGATCGGTGTCAGGCAAGATTGCTTACTCTCACCCTTTCTCTCTCTCCTGGTGATCGACTGGATCATGAAGACATCAACATCTGAAGGGAAGCACGGGATACAGTGGATAGCTAGGATGCAATTGGATGATCTAGACTTCGCAGATGATCTGGCTCTTTTATCGCATACGCAACAACAAATGCAGGAGAAGACAACCAGTGTAGCTGCAGCCTCAGCAGCAGTAGGTCTCAATATACACAAAGGGAAAAGCAAGATTCTTCGATACAACACAGCATGCACCAATCCAATCACAATTGACGGAGAAGATTTGGAAGATGTAAAAACCTTTACATATTTGGGCAGTATCATCGATGAACACGGTGGATCTGATGCAGATGTGAAGGCACGGATTGGCAAAGCAAGAGCAGCATATTTACAACTGAAGAATATCTGGAACTCAAAACAATTAGCAACCAACACCAAAGTCAGAATTTTCAATACAAATGTGAAGACAGTTCTACTGTATGGGGCCGAAACCTGGAAAACTACGAAATCCATCGTCCAAAAGATACAGGTGTTTATTAACAGTTGTCTGCGCAAAATACTTCAGATCCGCTGGCCGGACACCATAAGCAACAACCTACTATGGGAGAGAACAAATCAGATCCCAGTGGAGGAAGAAATCAGGAAGAAGCGCTGGAAGTGGATAGGACACACATTGAGAAAAGAACCGAATTGCGTCACAAGACAAGCCCTCATATGGAATCCTCAAGGTCGAAGGAGGAGAGGAAGACCAAAGAATACATTACGCCGGGAAATGGAGATAGATATGAGAAAAATGAACAAGAATTGGATGGAACTAGAAAAGAAGGCCCAAGACAGAGTGGGTTGGAGAATGCTGGTCGGCGGCCTATGCTCCATTGGGAGTAACAGGCGTAAGTAAGTAAGTAATGCCACAAAGAACTGTTTACACAAGTTCCTGGGACTAAAGCAAACGTAATGTAAGGTTTTTAAAACTACTGTATAATCCCATCATACTGGATTTTTGCCCACTTGAACACAAGTAGTAGTTCACAACACGATTTCGAAAATACTACCAAAAACGGTTATTAAAAGGATTGCTGAGTAATGAATTAACAACTTCATCACGAACTGACATCAGTTGGAAAACTGTCGAAAGCTATGGAGTATTAGACAAATGTTTTGTCGTTTGCACAGGACTTATTAATAGTGCCCACTCATGATACAGGACCCAATTCTGGTGTCGAGGACAATAACGTCGATCCATTAAGTAGGAATGAAGTGGTTAACAACCCCTTCTTGAGACAAACCTGTGATATAGTACAATTATCACCAAAACCATCTTAACATATTTTATACATTTTCACTATCATCCTCGGTAAAAAAAAAAGACGATATTTTGGGAAGCAACTCCAAAATCAATGCAACTCTAAACAAATGTTCTGCCTGTAAGTTTAATAAATTTACATCGTATATTGTTTTCATAATAAAATAATAACCCCAGATAATACTGCGTCTCTTATAGCACATTGAGAGCAAAGAAATGTATTAAGATTACGAACAAAATCAAAAAGTACTGTTCATATCCAACGCCACATAATTTTTGGAAACGAAATTGCAGAACGCAGAATAACGGGTGAATTGCGAGTTCGCCGTAACAACAGCAAACAGTATAATAAATCTTGAACCATGCAGTTTTAGAAATAAAGTTTCAGATAGATAATTTGCTACATCCTAGTACATTTATCAATATATTTGGAATCCCGAAAACAATTATAGAAGGATATGAGATAGAATTAAAAGTTGTTTAATATAAAGTGGACTGACTACTAAGATCATATAGTATCGTTATTTTGAATGACAAATATGGTTCATTTGATAACCGGTGTAGGAATCAACACCAGAAAAATATGTCATTGGAACGCTTTGTGGAACTGATTATTTTGAGTGGTTTGTTCAAGGGTACATTGTATTTAAATTGTATTAGCCTTAAAATTTTAATTATTTGTATCATACAAATTTGTATGTACTCCATGTTTCACTTATTTTCGCAGACTAAATCACCTCATAATACAATCATATGATGACCGACAGTAGCATTTGATAGAAAACAATTAAACTGGACAAAAGGCATATCTATTACAGGAGCTACTGTAGTGAACAAGAACACGAGTGGGGAAAACCGAATGTATTTGAACACGAAATTACAGAATATCTCACTAAAATCTGAGAACCATACAATAATTCTTTAATTTGCAAAATATCAATCAATTGTCTCGAACTTGACTGTTCCTTTTACAAATATCAGTGAATCGTGTCAGACTTCATTATTCATGCATTTTTGTACGTTTATTTATTTATTTATTTTAACACATAAGTATAGGTACAGGGAGGCACCAAATACATATGCGCCACACAAATCTCAATTGATTTGTGTGAGGGCTGTGATACTGCTCGGGTGCCCAAACCGAAGCAGGTGGTTTTCTTAGGGGGCCACACCCCGAGCCTTCGACCTGAACGTCTGACCCACAAGGCAGTGGAGCATCGTGAAGGAGATGCAGTCCCATGGTAGCCGGTGACCAACGATTGGTTCATACGCCATTTGTTCCTTCAGGATACTGGAGCCCATGTGCACCATTGGTTTGGGGTCCGGTTAAAGCGCCGGACATTCGCTTTTCGTCCTCTCATTTTTGTAAACAACACCCCCGCCACGAGAAGGCAGTGAGTAGGACTTCCCTGGCAGAGGCTATATACGCATGGCCATGTGAGAGCATTTCGAGAGGGAGAGCGGACTCTCCCCACTCTCGGCCGTACCAGGGCATTTGGGGGCATTTTTGTACGAGTTGCTCACCGTCCTCGTTCTTTCCCTCTCGATCTTCCACTGAAATACATTCTATGTCTGACCATCGTTATATACTACTTATGTGGATACAAGTACCTCACACAGCACTACTACTAACAGCTTCTAAAAAACAAGACTGTTTATTTAATACCATATGTTACTGTTGAACGTTAACCAATGTTAGAACGAACACATGCTGGTTACTCCATTCGTCACTGGACGGTTAAAGGTAACTACTAGGAAGCTCTGGGTTAGCTTTGTAATTGGTAAAACTAACCAACAGGTTATTTCTACAACACATAGGAACAATTTTATAGGTGTCGCTACCAAGAGTTGACTTAATGATTTCAAATAAAGTGAGTATTGGGTAGGATAATCGCGAATCACTGTACTAACCTTTCTACAATTAAATTAGCCTAGGTAACCAACATATCAACTACAAAGCAGTAATGCATAAAGAAACGGGTGACTGAATTATTGATTGAGCAAAGTGGTGTGATTCTGCTGAAAACTGGAAAACTACATCAAAGCAACAGAAAAATGCACTAGTCACATTTTAGACTACTGAAATTTATAGATAATCATTGGGGATGATGCTATTTGCCCAAATACAGCGTATGAGAAAGAAAATCGTCCTTGATTTTGCAAGTAAAATTAAGGCGATCTTCAGTAAGATCTCTTAAGTCATATCAAATTATTTGTAGGAAATTCTCTTTATTAGATTTAAGATGTAGTTACTCCTTTGATTTTAAATACATTTCCATGTACAGATGACCTGACTGGTTTTGTATTCAGTGATAATTACTCAGTTAATGGCAACTGAATAATCGTTAAATTAATAAATCACTGGAATGACTTTGATACAATTCAATCTTCTTTGGTTTTTCCCAATAGGTCTGTGTGAACAAGAATCATCCTTTGTGATATAATTCTCTCGCTCTTACGGTTTTAACCCAGCTATTCCTATTGCTTAGTATTCTCGGACACCAATTCACTCGACAAGTCCCCAAACCAGAACACGGTTGAACAGGAAAGAGATTGTATTCCAAATAACAAGGTTAGATGGAATTGAGAAGCACAAAAGGAAAAACGTTAGTATATTTATAGTTTTTACATAAGAATCTAGAGTCTCCTCCATGTATCGACTAGCGCTGATTGGATAAGAATCAGCCAATCAGCGTGCGCCGAAGCAATCGTGCATGGAGCATGCTTAAATCAAATCTATGTCCCGCTAACACTTTGGTGTATCTGTGCCTAAAAGAGAGCCATTATGTACAGTATCGAGTTTGTCGTTAGAGTTATCACTATTATCTTGCTTCATAACGAGTATCAAGAAATGAGATTTAAAAATACTAGAAAGTTAGCTGAGACTATCAGTCAGTAACAACGCGGAACTTCGTACGTACGTACGTACATCAGTTCTAGTTGCCATACCACATTAGCACAGAGATTCAGTTATCGATTCAAATCCCATAGTGGTAGAGGTACTGAAAGTATAAGTAGAGATAGGGGACATTAAGGTTTGATGATGTTATTAAAGGAGTATAGTCCAGTGGAATATATTTGGAAAGAAAATAAAGGACATGAAGAATTCAGAAGATTAGAGTTTGAGAGAACACAAAGAGTGGATGCACCTGCGCCATTGCAAACGATTTTGAGACATGTCACTCAAGGTCTCTAACCATCGGTTGCTATCGTCTCGCGGTCCCCAACCAGGTAGTCTACACCTACCAACATGTCTCAGTCCACTTGTCAGTGACTTCATGGATTTCTGCTATGTTTTGGTCTGGCCGCCCCTAGCTTTTTTCCAACCTACTCCTACACCATAAAACATCGCACGTCGGGGCAGTCGGTGGTCGGGCATACGCAACACATGTCCCAGGCATCTCAGCTGATTAAGTTTCACTACTTCCTCAATCGATTTGCCATCCTTACCTAGTACACGTTTCCTAACAACTGCATTACTTACTCGGTGGTCCCAGGATATACGAGCGGTGTTTCGAAGACACCTATGGTCAAATACTAGTAACCTACGAATATTCTCTACTCTTACTGGATATGTTTCACTGCCATAAAGTAGGACGGAACGAACTGCTGAGCAGTAAACACGTCCTTTGGTTGATAGACGGATATCTCGCCCACGCCACAAATGACGCAAATTGGCAAAAGCTAGTCGAGCCTTTTGTATCCGTGCTGAGATTTCGTCACACACCAAACCACAAGGGCTGATGAGACTTCCGAGATAAGTGAAGCGGTCGACACGCTCAACTACTTCACTACCTATCACTAATTCGGGTGTCGACGCAACCCAATCCTGAAGCAACATTTTGCATTTCGAGGGAGAAAATCGCATGCCGAACATGCTTGCATTGTTGCTTAGAGTGGTCAGCAGACTCTGCATTTTGTCAGCGTCTTCACTAAATAGAACTATGTCATCGGCATATTCTAAGTCAACAAATGAGGTGAGACTATATATTATGAAAGACCTATGAGGGACGACAAAATGACCTTGGAGACGTCCTCCTAATAACTAGGACTAAATGAAGGTTACAAAAGTGTGAGGAATTGAAATTATGATTCAGAGTTGACGGTTAGGGCTAGTTATTACATTAAGGGTTTTCATCGCGAACTAACATCAGCTAAAATTCAAAACGCTACGTAGCCAAATGTATGAATGTATTTCGCGCCAAAACCCAAGGCTCGTCGTCTTATGACTGATTGGTTCGTCCATTAATTATATTCTCGCCGAAAATTGCTATCACTAAACAGAACATTAATATGTATAAATGGAAGCTGTCTACGATTTAAAAACAAACCACTAATATAGTTGTGTTATTGTAACTTGTTGCAACCTAAGTTATCAACGACGGTGAGACTGCAATTTATGGACGACCTTTGGGCGATGCTACAATCAACTTGGGAATGTTCGGCTACATACTAGGGCCAAATGATGGTTATAATGCAGTGTGAAAAATAAAAATTATGATGTACAATTGATAGTAATGGTTAGGAATTAGATTTAGAGTTTTCATCACGAACTGAGACCAGCTAAAATGCAAAAACGCTATTGAAACAAATGAGTGAAGATCGCGCCAAAATCCGAGACACGTTATCCTAAATCCATAATTTACAGTCTCGTCACAGCAAAAAAATGATTAGGTATTAAAACAATTCATCATAAGATGGACAGCTTACCCACGAGCTTTCGATATTATTTGGCGAATATTGTTCGACTTTATATCTAAAACACTTGGATTTCGGTCACCTCCCCAGTCGGTCAAAACCAAAGCCTGAGAGAGATCTAAAAAAAAAGAAGTCTATCAAAAGCTTGCTTCAAAAGACTCCATACCACCGAGAATTCATACATATTAATGGTATCAAGGGTCGCATTGGTAGTCTTTTATTTGATAGTCAAGAAAAATAAGTTTCACAAACAATCCGTCTGCGTTGAGCCAGATATTCACATTGTTTTATATATTATTTTGTACATTATAACTCAACATTTGTTGGATGGCTTTGTCAAATAAGATACAGTTGCATGATTTACCGTGATCTTTCCGCGATTAAATATATAAACAATTGTCATTCTGAAATAATATTCCACCATATTCCATGTGAACACAATATGATCTGAAAGGTAGACAAAATTTATATCTTGATGTGTTCAAGACTCAAAGTGGTTCTAGTCCTTGAATCAGCTTTCCTGAGTCTAAAAATTTTTCAGACTCATACTGAATTATAAGGGAGCCTGTATATATCGAGTGATACATTTACTATCTGACAATGAAAGATAATATCAAGAATCACTTGACAACTACATTCGTACTCATTCAATACAAATATTTGCTGTTACTAACAACTTCCACTGAAACATACTCTTACCCTGAAGTTTTGATGTATGAATTTGTTTGTCATTCAGAAATGCTCCTTGATTACGAATTCCATGAAATAGCCATTTCAATATCGGATTATAAACAACAGCTAGCTCGGGCTGTGAATCTGAAAACGCAAGTACACTGACTAACCTCTTTGTTAACATAGTAAGCTATTGAAACGCAAACAAAAGGGAACCTGGGAATTACTTGAAGGTAGTATTACCTGCTAACAAAGTTCGAGGTCCCGTCAATTGGGTCGATTATCCATGTAGGTGAACAAGTAAGCTCAGCGTTTCCAGAATATCCCTCCTCTGCAATAATTCTAAATATAAGGCGAAATGAAACAAGTATTTTTACTTGTGAGTAGGGAACGTTGAGAGGATCTCCTGACAGATATAATTCTCAACAGCTTTATCCACTTCAGTTACCAAGTCAGCATATGATTCTTTCTTGTCATACGGAATACTCTCTGAAAAGCCGGCTTCAATCATCTTTTTGTTTGAGAAATAAAGATAAGAGTAGCGTACCTTTCCGGCTTTCACTGCCAGATTACTAACGAACAAGATGTCAGCCATGACTTTGTAATTATGGTAAATTTTGAAGGTTGCATGTTAGTGAAACTAGTTATTTCAAACACTAATCATCAGGTATCCACAACAAAATTGTAGGTAGCTCTAAAAATGAAATCAATGTTTCGGCTAATAATTTCCAGTTAATTTATTCATATCAAATCATCTGATTGTTTACAAAGACATGTTGATGCGAACCTTGAAGAAACCCTGGAATTTTACTTTATCAAATGTACCCAAAATTTTTTTGACGATCTCGCATTGGCCGACTTCTTTATGCTTTTTTTGTTGTTTCGGCTTGGTTTCGCTTCTTTTACAACATCTAACAGGCGTTGCTTAGCCAATTTACTTCACCAATCCTATTTGGCTTAGTAGTTACTTATAGGTTTGTATATCTTGTAGTCTGAAAGATTGCATTTGTCTTAAAGTAGTAGAGTTTATTCAACAAGCAGCTTTCACCCGCGATAAAGTTAACTAGTTAGTCTCAATCTGAAAAACTATTAAGCAACTATTAAGTCAATTGATTAGTGGTGTAGTGTGAGTAGATAAGAATTTAGGCTTAAAAAGGACAGCGAATATGAAAGAAACAGATATAAGAACGAGTTAATAACACGTGATAATGACAACAGTAAGCTACGTAACATTCTTAAGACAACCAGTCCAAGCGGCAGATGGTGATCCCTGATAGAGTAAGTTTTAGTCAAGTTTCTTCTTAATGCTATCTGTCAACAGAAGTTGCCGGTGCACATCGGCTGGGAGGCCGTTCTAGATGACGTACTTGGTATGTCGTGCATTATTATCAGATCACTTCTGTTGTGAGAATAACTTCAACTTTCAAAGGGTATCTTCGTAAGACTTGTTCCTTAGTAGTATCATCTACCCAGTCGCTCGTCTCTGTATTTCAAAAATGTCGTGGACTTCAGCATGAGATCATGAGCATACTTGGAAGTGTCAGAAACAATTCTGGGGTGATTACGTCAAGTTATCTTTACATGAAATGGAGAGTTGCATTTGCTTTACTAAATCCTCATAGTAGTTTGAACAAGTATTTAATCTCTCTGTGATTATTATTAACTGATCTTGATCTGAGGAGACAGTCAGGAACGGATTTTAATAGATGTAAGTTATTTGTGTCCCACGGGACTTAATGTTCATGAAATCACATTTTGGCGGCTGAATTTATACCTCATCGTCTACTGCCTGCTCGTTTACTGAGCAGTCCTTTCGCAGCCCAAGCGAATCCTTCTTGTTTATCATGGACCTCAATATCCTTGAGGTGCCAGAATAGACTACTACTTCTGAACTGATATTACCCAAAAGGCCATTAGAAAATATTGAGATTAGAAGTTCACTTAGCTGGTCCTCCGTGGAACTTCTGGTGTTGAAACCCTCCATCTCCTGCGAAATCTATTTACCTTAGTGTGGAGCGACCTAAATTCTAGGTGGTCTTGGAGCCATGATATGTGTGAGTTGGTAAAACCCACAGTTTTATCTTCGCTATAGGAATTGCGCGCAATACCACATGAAACGCTTTCGCGAAATCGAGGGACATAACATCGACCTGTTATTTTAGGTTTCAACAAGCTGTCCAACTGTCCCGTGAAAGAAATAAACGTGTAAAACTTTTTTATCCCAAACACGAGTTACACATTATGAAGGAAGTTACATTTCCACGCATTCATTTTCGTTTTTCGCTATAGTTTTGACAGTCATGCTTCTGGCCTATAGCAGACTGTGTCTCACCGATCGTTTTGTGCTGCAGTCAGGCCCAGATCTTTTCACAGGCATTTATTTTTTTGAGGCACGTTGTGCAGATTAGCTTTCTGAATAATGTGCCTCACTTTATCCCAGTAGTCACTCACTGTTAGCACCCGACGCTCTCGTAGCCACAAGGCGTGTTGAAGATTTGCTCTCATCGTCGTGAGGAGTCAATAAATATTCGGAGCTTGACAATGTCTTTACACTTAACACCTTTATAATCGAAATATACCAAACAGGTCAAATCAGAAGTCGGGAATAAATGAATTCAAAGATATGCTGATATGTCAAGAAGCGTTTGATCTAGGCTGGCCGACTTTTGCAAGGAATGCTTTGCACAGTGTATGCACTCATGATATAGGTACCATCATAAAATTTGGGAAGCCATACTTACATGCTGATGATCCCAAAATAGTACACAGCTATAAGCCTGAGACTCTGATTGAAAGTGTATCCCTGATTCAAAATGACCTCAATAACTCAACTATCTGGAGCGAAAAATGGCAATTATCATTCAACCTCAACAAGTGCGGGGTCACGCACTTTGAAAGCATCCCTATGAACTGCAACTTCATTTAAATAAAAGTAGAGTTCAGACACTCAAATCAGTACACGATCTAGGAAGTAATTACACAGGCAGCCTGAACTTCTAAGAACATGCCTCATCTATTATTCCTAAATCTAGACAGCAAATTAGTTTTATAACGAAAAATTTCTTCCCAACAGAGGCTAAGCTTACTCTCTATAAAATATATATACGACCTTCCTTTGAATACTGTTCTTTTATCTTCTCTAATATGAATACCACAGACAAGATAAGAGTAGAAGACGTTCAAAGACGCTTCACACGCAAACTGCTAGGAAGTGACTCCAATCTCGATTACTCAGATAGAAGTCGGGACCTCTCTTTAGAATCTTTATGGCACCGTAGGCTAAGGAACAATTAAATATATTTTCATAAGGCAATATATGGACTTTCACTTCTAACTTCCTACTCAATTATAATCCATGACCCAGCCTATATGTTGATGGTTGATGGCTGTCACGGGTTCACGTAGTCTGCGTACGAGAACGAGATTCGATTATCAAGGTCCAGTAAGCCAGCTATTGCTGCGCCTCAGCCCCGCTATCTAGAGGGAGAAGTTCAAGCTTGAAATAAGAAGTGTATTCTGCAGCAACCAGAGAAAAGAGCGAAGTCTCTTAGTAGAAAATATACTCGTTTATATATTGATTGTACACCCGTTTGAATAATAATTAGAATAAAATCACATACATGGACAATATTCACAGTTATAACAAATCATATGCTGAGTATAGTTCACAGTCAATAAAATACAAAAATATTGCATATTATACAGAATAAATATCATAGGAGAAAAGAAAAGAAATATTACATTGCGTAATCATTACATTAAATCAAAAAAGGATGTAATGATGAATAAAACTCATATTAAGTAAATCAATCAAATATTGACTTTTCTTCCCATCATATCACTATAGACTAAGAAATAACGCATATACACCACTTACCCTAAAACACCAAAAACAAATGCGTTGTAAGTTTTTTACAGTGTAGTATAGTTTATTGTGGAACAGGTTGATAATACCTATCCTTAACTGTGACACTTTTACCAAATTCAAAATGCTAATGACCTTGTTACTAGACTCTAAAGAGCTTCAACTATTCCTTGATTTCCCGCCTACCAATGAGGCACTTTAGTACGAACCGCTTAATATCTAGACGCCACACGATTTTAACGAACCCCATTGTTAATAATGTGAATATAACCAAATTACAGAACATATGGTTTAACCTTTCCTATTATAAATTGTTATTAATCATGGCCTTATGCTCCTAACCCTAACTTTCAGTTCCTAAACTCTCTAATGGTTAAAGATACATTATACTTCCAAAATGTTGTGTGCTTTTTTTCTATTGCAAGTAGACAGATGACTCACTAATCTTATGGATGCTGACCCACTAAGGCTGATCATAAGAAGCTCAAAATGTCCTAAATTCTTGGGAGTTGCTCAGTGTTTTATTTTAATTACCCTGAAAATTTTAGAGTTTTATACTTTTTCATATCCTTTGATTTGTTATTAGTCCTTACCAACTATAATCCACATAAAATCTAACCTGTTTTTTTAATTTTACCATTAGTTATCTTCACAGCAGTGTGATATACTAAATGGATGTCTAACTCATAATACAAATGCTTTGACCATCTGATTTGCTTGTAACATGGTACTAGTAGAGATAGTGTATTCCCACTATGGGCTTTAATTAAAGAAATATTCATACTTACCACAAACGTAAGAGAGCCTAACATCACAAAAGGAAGGATGGTGGCGTTACTGACCAGCAAACATGGTGGTAGGGAGATAACTTCAATCCACCCATATCTGTAGGGCAGAACATTTTGTTAAATTACGGCTTCTTATGATCAAGTGGGATGTCACGAACCAATCGTAATAATGCCAATTTATTATGCAAAATACCACTTTAAATTGTGTTTGTGACTTTGAATTGGTTTCATTTCCTACTGAGTACTCCTAATGCAAGCAAAACTAGACAATTTGTTAGAAACGAAGTTTCTCACGACCCTATTAAATCAATAAAACTAAAAATCGGCTGAACTAGCTTTGAAGAAAAAGGGAGATAGCCATTTGTGTATCGGAATACTGTTCTCAGTACTATATTTTGTGACTACATATAATCCCATACTTCCGGCTACTTTCCGAACCACCTCCATCTGTCAGTCGTTTATCCACTCATACCTTGTTTACACCTATTTTCTACAATCTATTAGAATGCTCATTCTTAATAAATACCTTAACAAAAGAGTATTAGACTGAGTAGCCATGTCTTAACTACTCCTTCATGAACATTGTCTGCTCTGCTTCTCGTTCTTTCTTTCTCTTACACCCTTTTTCAGCCCTCATTGAGATATGTCACCGAAAATAGATATGGAATGGGTGACTTCGTCCTCTACCATCATCCAAGCCTCAGATATTCCAAAGGGATATAAGGTTGCGGTTTCTATAAGTCCTCAACCTCACATGGATCTATTCTCGACAATCAGTTGCGCGTCACAACGCAACCTTCATAAGGCGCACCAACTGTGATACTTATAATACGATTCTTACTAAAATCATCTACGTTCGTGTCTTGTAAAATATCAACCCAGCTGAGTAATTTACTATGGTGAAAATTGTATCTTTTGTAACAAATTGGTCTTGCCCGTAAACTGGAATGCCTCACGTAACAAACTGTTAATTGAC